CCACTGAGCCCAGCTGAGCAGAGAGATTTCCGGACAGATTGGACATAGGAGGAGAGCACAACAGCGGCGTCAAGGATGACACGAAGGTTTGTGGCCTGAGCAACTTGGAAGGATGGAGTTGCCATTTACGGTGATGAGGAGACTAAGAGGAGAGGGCATGGGGTGAAGTGTACGGAGTTCGGGTTGGGATACGTAAGTCCGAGGACCTGGTAGTCGTCTGAGATGCCCATTGCGTGCAGTACGGGAGACAAGTGGGGGTTTGAGATATACATTTGGGGTCGACATGAGGGGCTAGTAATGAATGAAAGCTGTGAGACTGACGTTATCTAATCCTTTAAAATGGGGGTTAGGTCTAGAGCTGACCTGAAGGCCGAAGTCCCTTCCAGAACGCTATGCTCCTTCTCCTTGGGCCTTCTGAGCTATTCTGAACTTGTAGCATTCTGGAACTCTGCCATACAGCAGGAGACGGGAAGAGATGAGGCTGGAAAGGCCAGATGGCCTAGATTCATGTGCCAGTTCCACTACATTATGGTTGTGGAGGGTTAAATTAATTAATACATGTAAAAGTGCTTGCACATAGAATATGCTCATGAAATGCAAATGATCGGGTCGGGTGCGGTGGCTCAAGCCTGTAATCCCAGCACTTTGGGAGGCCGAGACGGGCGGATCAGGAAATCGAGACCATCCTGGCTAACACGGTGAAACCCCGTCTCTACTAAAAAATACAAAAAATTAGCCGGGCGAGGTGGCGGGCGCCTGTAGTCCCAGCTACTCGGGAGGCTGAGGCAGGAGAATGGCGTAAACCCGGGAGGCGGAGCTTGCAGTGAGCTGAGATCCGGCCACTGCACCCCTGCCTGGGCGACAGAACGAGACTCTGTCTTTAAAAAAAAAAAAAAAAAGAAATGCAAATGATCATCAGCAACTCAGAATGACTTTCTTCACCAACACTATCTGACACTAGCATCAAGCTCACAGGCTACTCTGTCTCCTTCAATCAAAAACACACCTTGAGGCCTGGAGCGGTGGCTCAGGCCTGTAATCCCAGCACTTTGGGAGGCCGAGGTGGATCACTTGAGGTCAGGAGTTCAAGACCAGCCTGGCCAACATGGCGAAATCCCATCTCTACAAAAAAAAAAAAAAAACAAAAAACACAAAAAAATCCAACCAAACAAACAAATTAGCTGGACATGGTGGCGTGTGCCTGTAGTCCCAGCTACTAGGGAGGCTAAGGCAGGAGAATCGCTTGAACCTGGAAGGTGGAGGTTGCAATGAGCCAAAATCGTGCCACTGCACTCCAGCCTGGGTGTCAGAGAGAGACCCCATTTGAAAAAAACCAAAAACCAAAAACAAACAAAAAAATGTACCAGTCAGATGAGGTCTATTCATGTCAGTTTAGCACCCCAACCAAATTGCTTTGAAATTCACTACTTGATGTACCAAATCCAGAGGTTACAAAAACTGAACGGTATGCTCGGCTTTTTTTTTTTTTTTTTTTTTTTTTTTTTTTTTTTGAGACAGAGTCTTGCTCTGTCGCCCAGGCTGGGGTGCAGTGGCCGGATTTCAGCTCACTGCAAGCTCCGCCTCCCGGGTTTAGACCATTCTCCTGCCTCAGCCTCCCGAGTAGCTGGGACTACAGGCGCCCGCCACCTCGCCCGGCTAGTTTTTTGTATTTTTTAGTAGAGACGGGGTTTCACCGTGTTAGCCAGGATGGTCTCGATCTCCTGACCTCGTGATCCGCCCGTCTCGGCCTCCCAAAGTGCTGGGATTACAGGCTTGAGCTACCGCGCCCGGCCGCTCGGCTTTTTTTTCAAAAGATACTCGATCAACATCTTTTTAAAACCTACACAACAGTGAGTCACAACACAAGGCAGAAGTTATTTTAATCATCTTTCTCTCAAGGATCATTTCTCTTCTGCCAATCTGATTCTCTTACTTGACAATCTTCCTTTTAGCCAAGACCTACTTTTAATATATTTTGGGATTTATTTCAATATCCACAATTAACAGACTGCAGACAAACACAAAACAGCAACTCTTGAGACTCTAAAAATGGAAACCCAACCCATCTTCCCCCTAGAGATAGTACAGGCAGGAGACTGACTGTATCTCTGTCCTATCTGGCAGGTCCTTGAAACCTCTGAATTATTCAAAATGACAGTGCATATGGCGGTATAAAGGAGTATTTTATTACATTCATGGGGACAACTGGAGGATTAAAATAAGAGTTTGGAATCTGGGATGGAGAGGAGACAAGCAGTACACACTGGTGAGATAACACAAACAAAATTAGGCAAGATGCCAGTCAGTATCCTAATTCTAGAGGCACTAAGCTTAGATACGTAAGTTTAGGAAAAAGTAAACCCAATTAAACAGAATCATCTGCATGGTGAGAATACAGATTCTGTTTTCTTTTTGCTTATATTGTCTAAAATTTTTACTACCATGAACTTTTTCCTTATTTATTTTATACATACATATATATATACATATATACACACACATACATTTTTTTTTTTCTTTGAGACGAAGTCTTGCTCTTGTCCCGCAGGCTGGAGTGCAGTGGCGTGATCTTGGCTTACTGCAAGCTTCGCCTCTTGGGTTCAAGTGATTCTCCTGCCTCAGCCGCCCGAGTAACTGGGATTACAGGCGCCTGCCACCATGCCTGGCTAATTTTTGTATTTTTACTTGAGATGGGGTTTCACCATGTTGGCCAGGCTGGTCTAGAACTCCTGACCTCAGGTGATCCACCCGCCTCAGCCTCCCAAAGTGCTGGGATTACAGGCGTGAGCCACCATGCCCGGCCTATATATGTGTGTGTATATATACTATATATATATATATATTTTTTTTTTCTTTTCTTTTCTTTTTTTTTTTTTTTTTTGAGACAGAGTCTAGCTTTGTCGCCCAGGCTGGAGTGCAGTGGCTGGATCTCAGCTCACTACAAGCTCCGCCTCCCAGGTTCACACCATTCTCCTGCCTCAGCCTCCCTAGTAGCTGGGACTACAGGCGCCCGCCACCTCGCCCAGCTAGTTTTTTGTATTTTTTAGTAGAGACGGGGTTTCACCGTGTTAGCCAGGATGGTTTTGATCTCCTGACCTCGTGATCTGCCTGTCTCGGCCTCCCAAAGTGCTGGGATTACAGGCTTGAGCCACCGCGCCCGGCCTTTTTTTCTTTTTTGAGGTAGAGTCTCGCTCTGTTGCCCAGGCTGGAGTGCAGTGGTGCAATCTCGGCTCACTGCAAGCTCCGCCTCCCAGGTTCACAGCATTCTCTGCCTCAGCCTCCCAAGTAGCTGGGACTACAGGTGCCCGCCACCAGGCCTGGCTAATTTTTGTTTTTGTATTTTTAGTAGAGACGCGGTTTCACCATGTTAGCCAGGATGGTCTCGATCTCCTGACCTCATGATCTGCCCGCCTCGGCCTCCCAAAGTGCTGGGATTACAGGTATGAGCCACTGCACCCAGCCTAATATATGTATTTTTAAAAATAGACACAGGGTCTCACTATATTGCCCAGGCTGGTCTTGAATTCCTTGGTTCAAATGATTCTTCACCTTGGCCTCTCAAAGTGCTGGGATTGCCGGCATGTGCCACCACACCTGGCCAAGTTGTTTAGTTCAAATATGCGCAAGAGAAGCAGACATAGAGACCGAAGGCCTGGGCTCTAGAGCCCAGACACCCGGTTCTTAGCCAAGCAGCCAGGTGCAAGTCACCTACCCTCTCTACATTCCACACACTGATCTATTCTTAAAAAACAGAGATAGGCCGGGAGTGGTGGCTCATGCCTGTAATCCCAGCACTTTGTGAGGCTGAGGCAGGAGGAGTGCCTGAGCCCTGGAGTTCAAGACCAGCCTGGGCAATATAGTGAGACCCTGTCTCTATTTTTTAAAAAAGAAGAGGCTGGGGGCGGTGGCTTACACCTGTAAGCCTAGCACTTTGGGAGGCCGAGGCGGGCGGACCATGAGGTCAGGTCAGATGAAGACCATCGTGGCTAACATGGTGAAACTCTTATCTCTACTAAAAATAAAAAAAATTAGCCAGGCGTGGTGGTGGGCGCCTGTAGTCCCAGCTACTCAGGAGGCTGAGGCAGGAGAATGGCGTGAACCTGGGAGGCGGACCTTGCGGTGAGCTGAGATTGCACCACTGCACTCCAGCCTGGGCAACAAAGCGATACTCAGTCTCAAAAAAATAAATAAATAAAAAATAAATAAGAAGGAAAAAAAGAACCCTAGAATAATAGTCTTGTCTTCCTAGAGGATGAAGCCCTAAATGTCAAGGCCTCCAAGTGCCTGGCATGTAGGGGATGCTGGCTAAGTGCTTGCTATTATTATTGCTATTTGCTGTTATTACATGAGCTGATAGAAATGGTTGCCTAAACTGGAGAGCCTAAGAAAAATGCTAATAAAATGAGTTGGATTTGAGGAAGAATCTTTTTTTTTTTTAAGATGGAATCTCCCTCTGTTACCCAGGCTGGAGTGCAGTGGTACAATCTCGGCTCACGGCAACCTCCACCTCCCAGGTTCAAGCAATTCTCCTGTCTCAGCCTCCCGAGTAGATGGGATTACAGGCGCTGCCACTATGCTTGGCTAATTTTTTGTATTTTTAGTAGAGATGGGGTTTCACCATGCTGGCCAGACTGGTCTCAAACTCCTGACCTCAGGTGATCCACCCGTCTCAGCCTCCCAAAGTGCTGGGATTACAGACGTGAGCCACCGTGCGTGGCCTGAGGAAGAATCTAGGAAGATACTTGAGATAAGGCAGAAGAAACTCGAGAAAGGAGGAAGACTGAATATGACAAAGTTTACCCCCTGAAATCAGCAGTGAAATGAGAACCAAATGTCGCATCGAGACTGACATGAATAAGAAAGTTTTCTTTTAAAAATAGCAGCTCCTAATTGGATCCAGGAAAGATCATTCACCACACGCAGTCATTTGGCTCTGCTTTACCCACCCACCCTGCCCTTTTTTTTTTTTTTCCACAAAAAAAGAAGAGACTCAAAGAAGATTTCTTCTGAATGTGTATCACCATTTATTGTAGTTTGCGTTAGGAATTGAACAGAGGACATTGTCTGTGGAGGAGAAAAAAGGAAAAGAAAAAAGAAAGTATGTTTTTTATAGACTTAATTTCTTCAGAACACTTTATGGTTTCAAATCCTTTTTTACCCCAAAGGAAATTCAAGAATTCAAGTATGTTAAGTAGGGAGCGGTAATACAAAAAGTCTGATACTTGTGTGCGCGTGTGGCTGTGTTTGTCTGTGTGTGTTGAAACTGGCAGACATACTCCCACATTCTTGCACCCTCTTTTGCTTTGGTAAGGCCAAACACATCATACAAATGACCCTGCCTCAAACTCACACACCCAAGGGTTGAGGAATTGATTTACCCCCAGAGGATAACTGTGAAGGTTTCGAACTGTCACATAGCATTAAAAAAAAAAACAAAAACAAACAAACAAAAAACCCAACCCTCATCTTCCCAAAATACGGTAAGTCACATAAGTCCTGATACACTGACACCCCTAGATTTTGCTGCAGTTGCTCCTCAGGTGCCTAATAGAGGCTTATTACAAGGACCAGAGCAGCAAGATTTTCTTTATTTTGTTTAGAATAAAAAAATCTTAAAGGGACATTTCAAAAGAAAAAAAACTGAAATTCAAATTCTGAAAATATCTTGCCTTTTTTATTAATCATGTCATCTAACACCAATTAAAAAAACAAATATGTGAATATGATATAAAAATACGATCCCAGGATGAACACTTGGTGGCAGGCACAGTTATCTCACAGAATATATGTTTGGTAGGCCGGGGAGAGGGGTTTACTTCTGTTTTTGCTTCTCTTAAAAAATCCACAGCAGTGCAAGTAGGGTCAGGAAGGGGGAGGGGGGAGAAAAGATTCTTTAGCAGCAAAATGTCCAAGGTTCTCTAATCACAATCAAATCAACGGATATTGGATTAAAAAAAATTCATGAAGGGATGCTGCCCAGACCCATCAGCCATCACTGAAAGACTTCAGTTGCCCCAAACTGTGACATACGAAGGACGTGCTTTATTACACAAGCAACCATAAAACCTGTCCTTTAAGCTTTTGAGCGTGTTTGTCACTTAAATATATGTACAGGAACCGGGCTCCTCTTCTCATCCGTGTCCTTCCAGCTCTCAGCGTTTGCTCGCTCTGGGTGGGCCTGGGTGGTTTGCCACATTTGGCCTCCAACACGTGAATGGCAGCTTTGCTGCAGCCGCTGCTTCTGCTTGCCTCGTTGGCCTTGGCTGTGTCTAGCAGAGGGTGGGCGGCGGAACGGTTTAGTGATCGCTGTTCTGTTTCTCTCTCATCCATGCCTGAATCTGCTCTTTCAGTTCTGGCACTGAGAAAAGAAAAAAAGGAGGATTAATGCCCCAGATGGGAGGGCTCCTCCTGAGAGAGGATGCCTGTCACTCTGTATAGATGGGAAGAAAAGGCCATTCATTCCCTCATTGAGCCGAAGACTGCAGAAGGACTGGGACGAGAGGGAGGGACTGGACGTCTACAGGGAAAAAGGGCCAAGAGTGTTTTGGGTCTTTGCTAGAGTGTCATAAACTAGGTAGTTTCTGCATTTGATAAATTTCCCTTCTGTTTCATCTCCGATATGTGACTTGGGCATTGTCTCTTGGCACTGATGCCAGCGCTGCGCCTTGAACTGCGCCTTCCTCTACCTGGTTCCAGCATGCTCTCTGTCAGCGTCTGCCGGTTGAAGGGGTCCGTGGGGGAGTTGAGCAGGTGCCGCAGGATAATGGAGCGGTCCATGATGGTGCCAGAGGGCAGCCGCACGGGGTCAGTCATGAGGGTGTCCATCAGAGGGTCTGCAGGGACAAAGCAAAGCAAACTCTAATAAGAGAGCCCAAGACTGAAAAAGAAAACAAAGCTCCTTCTACTGGTGAAAAATCTATCCAAAGGAACAGCAATCAAAGGGCCCCTGAGAGGCCCCCAGGTTTAGAAGGAAATCAGCCTTCAATAAAGGCATATACATTGCCTTTTGTAGAGGCGAAGGCACTCCTTTGTCAGCTACTGCTGGGGGAGGGAACAGAGAAGAAAGGGCCTGGGACAGACCCAGCAGCAGGCCCCACAGGCTCCGTGGGGAGGACGGCAGGCTGGAATCCTTTGCCTTAGGACTTCTGGGAATTCTTCTTTGAAAATGTGAATCTCCCCTCGCAAAGGCAGCCCTGCCTTAGAATCTTCAGGGCTGTTCTCTGGCTTTAAGTCAGGCTAACGATGTTTCTTCCTCTCAATTTACAATATGAGCTAAAAATAGGCAAATGTAATTTAAGACAGATTGCCTCAAAAAGCAGCTCTAGCGCACCATTAAAAAATTAATAGCACAGGACGTCCTCTTGTAATGTTATCGATTTCCAGTTAACTCCAAAGAAATCAGCATAAAAACGACGAGTCCACTTGCCTCTGAACTCATCAGGAGCGTCGCTGTAGTCAATTTCTGCGCGTGCATTCTTGGCCACTATCTCCTCCACTTTCTCGGCGAGCAGCTTAAATTTTTCTATCGCTATTGTGGATTTGATCCCTGCCTTCCGCATCTTTGAAATTACTTCTTCAAACAACTCCTTACTGTAGGATCTCTGCAAAGGAGGAATGGCAACGTGAGACGTAAAGGTATGTGAGGTGGAAAAAAGCGAGCTGCAGAAAATATCCAAAGTATAATCCATTTGTGGATTTTTCCCCCCTTAAGAAGCCCTAAAATTATATATACTTATATATTTTATATATCCCAGTCTTTATGCATTTATAGCCACATAAAAGTATGCACTTTTCATGCTTACAAATGGATAAGGACTGGAATAATATGTGCCAAACTGCACGAGGTCACTCCCTCTGGAGAGGGCTGCGGGCCTGAGGCAGATGGGGTTTTTTTTTTTTTTTTGAATTTTTACACCTGGCATGCATTTCTTTTAAAGCTTCAACATTAAAAAGAGAAGGAAAGCTAGTCTATTTCAGTCCTTGGGGGGACACTGTGCCCTGCTAGCCTGTAAGAAGAGGTGAAAATTTCAGCTCTCTTCCACAAAGGTAAGCATGGTAAAAACAATCCACTATTGTTCATACTCTAGATGAGCTTTCTCTTGTTCACTTTTAAGCCTCCTTCAAGCTCATTTTGTTCAGCACAGCACATGTCAGGGGCTCCATGGACATGAGACCACCCCGGTGAACTGATGAACAGGACCGGGAACAGACACAATTTATGTCCCCAGGAAGGGAAGATGTGGAGTGGAGGACGGGCGCCCACCATGGACCCAGACAAATCTGAACTTGGATTCTGGTCCTACCACCTACCAGCTGTGCGGTCACAGGCAAATGTGAACCCTCCTGAGCCCAGGCTCTTTGAGTGTAAAATGGGCAGAGTAACATCTGCCTCACAAGTGTCTAATTCACAAAAATGACTGCCATGCCAAATAGCAAAGTATGTTGTAGTTTGTATTCATAGTAAAACACATATAGCAGAAACACTGGCCACTAGCTTAGTGATGATATATATTTGTATTGGTATCACCATCGCGAAACAAGTGGCCAGTGTTTTGGCCACATATGTTTTACTATAAATATATATATGTATTTTGAGACAGAGCTTCATTCTGTCGCTCAGGCTGGAGTGCAGGGGTACAATCATGGCTCACTGCAGCCTCAAACTCCTGGGCTCAAGCAATCCTCTCACCTTAGCCACCCAAGTAGCTGCGACTACAGGTGCAAGCCACTGTGCCCAGTTCATTTTAATTTTAATTTCTGAGACGGAGCCTCACTTTATCACCCAGGCTGGAGTGCAGTGGCACGATCTCAGCTCGCTGAAGCCTCCGCCTCCTGGGTTCAAGCGATTTTCCTGCCTCAGCCTCCTGAGTAGCTGGGATTACAGGTGTGCGCCACCATGGCTGGCTAATTTTTTTTGTATTTTTAGTAGAGACAGGGTTTTGCCATGTTGGCCAGGCTGGTCTGGAACTCCTGGCCTCAGGTGATCTGCCCACCTTGGCCTCCCAAAGTGCTGGAATTACAGGTGTGAGCCACTGTGCCCGGCCTAAACCTCTTTTCTTTATAAAGTACCCAGCCTTGGATATTTCTGTATAGTGATGCAATGGACTAACACAAGAATATCTGCAAATCATATATCCAATGATATGATATCACCTAGCATCCAGAATACAAAAGAACTCTTCTGGTTGGGCGCGGTGGCTCACGCCTGTAATCCCAGCACTTTGGGAGGCCGAGGCAGGCGGATCAAGAGGTCAGGAGATCGAGACCATCCTGGTTAACATGGTGAAACCCCATCTCTACTAAAAATACAAAAAAAATTAGCCAGGCATGTGTGTGCACACCTGTAGTCCCAGCTACTTGGGAGGCTGAGGCAAGAGAATTGCTTGAATCTGGGAGGTAGAGGTTGCAGTGAGCCGAGATCATACCAATGCACTCCAGACTGGACAACAGAGGTAGACCCCATCTCAAAAAAAAAAAAAAAGAAAAAAAAAAAGAACTCTTCCAACTCAACAACAAAAATACAAACAACCCAATTAAAAAATTGTCAAAGAACATGAATAGACATTGCTCCCAAGAAAACATAAAAATGGCCAGCAAGCACATGAAAAGGTGTCCAATGGTATTTGTAATTAGGGAAATACAAATCAAAACCACAATGAAATACCATGTCACTTCTACTAGCATGAGTATTTAAGAAACAAAAACAAATTAACATGTTTAATTTAAACTTCATGATGGAAAGAATATAAAGCAAACAAAAGAAAAAAAATGAGAAAGAATGGAAACTTAAACCTTATACATTGCCAGTGGGAATGTCAAATGGGCAGCAGCTGTAGAAGACACTCTGGCATCCCTCAAAAAGTTAAACATGGAATTACCACATGACCCAATAATCCCACTCCCAAGTGTATTCCCAAAATAACTGAAAACAGGTGTTTAAATACTTGTACACGAATGTTCACAGCAGCACTGTTTACAACAGCCAAAGGTTGGCGACAACCCAAATGTCTATCAATGGATGAGGATAAACAGATGGTGGTATATCCATACAACGAAATATTATTCAGCCATGAAAAGGAATGAAATACTGATACATTCTACAACACAAATGAACCTTGAGACATGATGCTAAGTGAAATAAGCCAGACATCAAAGGTTACACACTGTATAAGTCCATTTATATGAAATATCCAGGATAGGTGAATAAGTAAATCCAAAAATAGGAAAAGAGAGACAGAAAGCAGATTTGTGATTGCCAGGGGCTGGGGCAAGAGGTCTAGACAGTGACTGCATTAAGCTTTTCCTTTCAGGGTGATACATGTTGTGGAACTAGGTAGAGGTGGTGGCTGTGCAACGCTGTGACTGCACTACATGCCACCAAATGGTACACTTTCAAATGGTTACTTTTATGTTACATATGAATTTTACCTCAATAAAGAAGAAAAAGTTAACAGAAAATGAAGCATTAAATTTGTGAGATGCAGACTCGTATTGTGGTAGGTTAGTGGAGGGAGCAATTAACTTAGGAAAGACTGACTGCATGGGGGGAAGCGTGACTTTGATGGGATTTTTGTTTTTTTTATTTTCTAAGCAGATGCTGAATCTTTTTTCTTTTTTAATGGAAAATGGTGTTAACAGACAATGCTTCATCGACAACAGATATGCAGTCTGTCCACGGAACTGGCGTCTGCCCATAAAGGCACAGTCTAGGCCACTTTAACATCTCCCTATCCTGGTCCTCTTGGCTCCTGGGACCAATGTGATATCCCACTTCTCTGGCGTGGAGCTCTGACCTCAGATTCCTGAGCATCAAGCTCAGTGGCTCTTCATCCAGGTACCTTTTTTTTTTTTGAGATGGAGTCTCGCTCTGTTGCCCAGGCTGGAGGGCAGTGGCATGATGTTGGCTCACTGCAAGCTCCGCCTCCCAGGTTCACGCCATTCTCCTGCCTCAGCCTCCCGAGTAGCTGGGACCACAGGCGCCTGCCACCATGCCCGGCTAATTTTTTTGTATTTTTAGTAGAGATGGGGTTTCACCGCATTAGCCAGCATGGTCTTGCTCTCCTGACCTCATGATCTGCCTGCCTTGGCCTCCCAAAGTGCTCGGATTACAGGTGTGAGCCACGGCGCCCGGCCCATCCAGGCACCTTTTTGTCAGCCTTCTGGACATGAGTCTTCAGCCTACTCTTGGTATAGAGGGACAGAAGCCTCTCAGTTTCTTTACCTGCAAAGCTGTCATTTTCTTCTTCCTTTGTCTTCCCAGGAAAACAAGACATACCAAACCAAACCAAAGCCAGCTAAGATACTGCTGCTTCCAAAGGAGAAAATGCAATTCTATAATCTCTTCTCCAGTGCTTGCCAGCCGTCGTCCATCCTTTTGCACTTACCGCCCCCTGCTCCACCAAAGCTCTCTTCTACAACAATCAAGTAAGCAGGCCCCTAATCAGCTTATGGCCAATATAAACAGAAAATACCCAATAATCAGCATAAACACCACACTGTGAAAGGAAGCAAAAACACTTCTTTTTTTTTTTCCGAGACGGAGTTTCGCTCTTGTTGCCCAAGCTGGAGTGCAGTGGCGTAGTCTCGGTTCACTGCAACCTCTACCTCCCGGGTTCAAGTGATTCTCCTACCTCAGCCTCCCGAGTAGCTGGGATTACAGGTGCGCACCACCATGCCTGGCTAATTTTTTGTATTTTTAGTAGAAACAGGGTTTCACCACGTTAGCCAGGCTGGTCTCAAACTCCTGACCTCAGGTGATCTGCCCACCTCGGCTACCCGAAGTGCTGGGATTACAGGTGTGAGCCACCGCACCCAGCCCAACACTTTTTTTTTTTTTTGAGATGGAGTCTTATTGTGTCGCCCAGGTTAGAGTGCAGCGGCGTGATCTCAGCTCACTGCAACCTCTCCCTCCTGGGTTCAAGCTATTCTCTTGCCTCAGCCTCCGAGTAGCTGGAATTACAGCTGCCTTCCACTGTGCCCGGCTAATTTTTGTATTTTTAGTAGGGATAGGGTTTCATCATCTTGGCCAGGCTGGTCTCGAACTCCTGACCTTGTGATCCACCCACCTTGGACTCCCAAAGTGCTGGGATTACAGGTGTGAGCCGCTGCGCCCAGCCCTAACACTTCTTAAAGTATGCATTTCTCTCCATGCGTCACTGGCAAGTGTGTGTTTGTTTCACCACTCTGGAAGAACAGGACTATCTAGACATTCAAGGATCCCTGTGTGCCACTGTGCCAGAAACTGCTGTCTACGACTCAAGCCAGGTGCCACCAGAGGCCAGCACCATAGTCCAAGGCATGACCAGGCAATGAAATGTGTTGTTGGTCACCAAGGACAGGCCGCTCAAAGCACTCCTTTGTCACCCACTTGCTTTGCATCACCTCACTGGGCGTGCTGTGCCCATCCACATTGAAACCTTCTGTGTGTTACGTTAAGTGCCTGTGATGTGGCAGTCACCCACCCTAGAGAGGGCGCACACTAAACAGCTCTTCCAAGCCTCTCTACAGTAACGATGGACGAGCCCCAGGGGCTTTCCACACTGACCTCTGGCTTGGCTGGAGACTCCAGCTACAGTCAGGTGTGGACCCCACCTCAATGGCTAAGTGCTTCCCTTTTCTTTCCCTCACTGCAGGCTATGACTTGCCTTCTGTTTCTAAATCAGTGCAGTATTATATAGTCGGGGGCTAGTAAAGCAGTATATATTTTAACATCTCCTACAAGTAACTACAATTTCCTAACCCTCTTACAGACCACTACTTTGTATGAAAAAACTGCTTTAGACATACAGTCCTGTGTCGCTCTGAGAAATGTCTTGTTAGGCGATTTCGTTGTTGTGTAAACATCATAGAATTTACTTACACAAACCTAGATGGCGTGGCCTACACCACGTCGAGGCTCTATGGTACAGCCTATTGCTCCTGGGCTACAAACCTGTACAGTGTGGGACTGTACTGAATCCTGTCGGCAGTTGTAACACAATGGTGAGTATTCTAAACATAGAAAAGGTACAGTGAAAATACGGTATTATAATATGATGGCGCCACCTGGTCTTTGTGGTCCATCATTGACAGAAACAGCACATGACTATGTATTTTTTTTCCACTGCAAATCCTTTGTTAAGACCACTTCCCCTGCTACATGAGAAAGCACCTAAATATGTGAGTTATAGCTCCATAAAGCTGTCACTAAAAAAAAGTACCTACAATGCTTCTATTGTAACATTATTCCTTTGGATGAGATATGGGTAAAGAACCTTCTAGAACGCCTACTGATGATTAACCTGAGCTATGAATAATATTTGGGTAACAAAGACAGAGACAAAGAAACAAGCGTGGTTCTTTGTGGGCTTTTTAAGTGGACAGCAGAGACTGAGGATATGGGTTCAAGGCCAGGCTGCCTGGACATCAATCATGCCTCTGTCCCACACTAACTCTCTGACCTTGAGCAAGCTATTTAACCTCTCTGTGCCTCTTTCCTCACTTTAAAACAAAGACTTTAATAGAACCTACATCAAAGAATTTTGTGAGGACTAAATGGGTAGAGATATGAAAAGGGGGTGAAATGCGGTGTACAGTTAATAGACACTAGCTGTGAGGACGTTGAAAACGAGGCAGAACGGACCATGGACAGGGCCAGCCTAAACTTTATGAGATAACTAGAAGATCACACAGGGACAGCTTAGCCTAAATTGGTGGCTGTGGAAATGAAGCACACACAGACAGATCTGCTCACAGGAGAGCCACGGAATACAGGAGAGGGAAGAATGTAAAGACAACCACACGAGGTTTTCAATCCGGACAACTCCCAAAATAACAGCACTCTAGCAGGAGACTAGGGAGGAAGATTCTGATCCCTTGAGAAATCGGGCTCTTTTCAGAAATGTAACAGATTTGTCAAGAAGGCCCTTACAAAGATGGGGTAAGAACTCAACTGGAGGCCGGGCGCGGTGGCTCAAGCCTGTAATCCCAGCACTTTGGGAGGCCGAGACGGGCGGATCACGAGGTCAGGAGATCGAGACCATCCTGGCTAACACGGTGAAACCCCGTCTCTACTAAAAAGTACAAAAAACTAGCCGGGCAAGGTGGCGAGCGCCTGTAGTCCCAGCTACTCGGGAGGCTGAGCCAGGAGAATGGCGTAAACCCGGGAGGCGGAGCTTGCAGTGAGCAGAGATCCGGCCACCGCACTCCAGCCTGGGTGACAGAGCGAGACTCCGTCTCAAAAAAAAAAAAAAAAAAAAAAAAAGAACTCAACTGGAAAGGGATCAGAGCACCAAATCTGCTCTTTACTTTTGTTTTTTACTGACTTATTTGAGACAGAGTCTCGCCCTGTTGCCCAGGCTGGAGTGCAGTGGCACAATCTCGGCTCACTGAAACCTCTGCCTCCTGGGTTCAAGCGATTCTCCTGCCTCAGCCTCCCGAGTAGCTGAGATTACAGGCGTGCACCACCACACCCGGGTAATTTTTTGTATCTTTAGTAGAGATGGGGTTTCACCATGTTGGCCAGGCTGGTCTTGAACTCCTGACCTCGTGATCTGCCCGCCTCGACCTCCCAAAGTGTTGGGACTACAGGTATAAGCCACTGTGTTTTTGAGACAGGATCTCACTCTCTCGTCCATTCTGGAGTGTGGTGGTGCAATCATGGCTCACTGCAGTCTGGCCTCAAGCAATCCTCCTGCCTTGGCCTCCCAGAGTGTTGGGATTATAGGCCTGAGCCACCGCACCCAGCCCAAATCTACTCTTCACACTCAGAGGAAAACAACCCATTCATCTTCACTGATACCAGACAAGTTCCCTGGCCACTGTGGTTATTATCTTCAAATCCGCCAGTAAACTCACAGAGAGACCAACTCAACTCACTGACCTGATCGTCAGCAATGGCTTTCGCGAACCGGGCACAGTCCAGCTGTAAGTAAATATCTGTCAGTTGGTCCAACAGCTTCTTTGGTTCAAAGCCGTATTTCTCAGGGTTTTCAACTTTCAGGTCACGGCACTTGGGGCCACAGAGTTGCTGAAGATTAAAGTTCAGCATTGCAGCCAATCGGGGTCCAAGTTCCTAGGAAATCACAGGATAATAGGACAATTCATGCTGTTGAGACAAGTGAAAAGGACCAAAACCTCCCATTTCAGTGGAGGAACAGGAATTGGTTGGATTAGTCTTCAAAGAATCCGTACAGGTGCTGTGTATCACAAGCTGAAGAAAGACAACATTATATTCCAACTTTACTCCCCATTTCCAATCTGATAATTCTAATACTTAATGGAATGTTGCAAGCTGATGAAATATTTATTTATAAATACCAACAGAAGCCAAACTTTTCTTTAAATTTATGCTTTTAATTTAAAAAAGTATCACTCCAAATTCATTGAGAAACAAGTAAAAGAGAGAAAATTATACAAATCTGGCCGGGCGCGGTGGCTCACGCTTGTAATCCCAGCACTTTGGGAGGCCGAGGCGGGCGGATCACAAGGTCAGGAGATTGAGACCATGGTGAAACCCCGTCTCTACTAAAAATGGAAAAAATTAGCCGGGCGCAGTGGCGGGCACCTGTAGTCCCAGCTACTCGGGAGGCTGAGGCAGGAGAATGGCGTGAACCCGGGAGGTGCAGCTTGCAGTGAGCCGAGATTGCGCCACTGCACTCCAGCCTGGGCGACAGAGCGAGACTCCGTCTCAAAAAAAAAAAAAAAAAAAAAAAAAGAAAATTATACAAATCTTACCATTATCTGAGCCAAAAAAGTTTTGAGTCAGTTCTTCCAGCCAATATTTCATCAACCTTTTTCCCCTTAAATGTTAAAAGCCCCTGGCAGTTCAGTCTGTGCCATTCTTATGTACTTATCAGATACAGATAACAAAGTAAAGCAAAGAAAGAAGATAGAAGTTATGTCTTGAATAGTTTTAAATCCAGTCAATGAGACAGAGTAAACTTAAATGAAACACCTGGAAAATAATAATAATCTATGCAGGAATCTCACAAGGTGACTCAGTACTCACTACGGTTGGGCATGAATGGTTTTAAGCAAACCTGAAACAGGAAGATGTGGCTTAGAGAGCATTAAACACTGGCCATAAAAGGGAGTCATGAAAGCGTTCCTTTTAGTCACAAGGTTTTCATGAAATGTAATAACTGGATTTATTCAAATTCGACATATACTTAGCTTTTCAAGAATTTGCTTTTGCACAGAGTACTCCTGTATTTCACTGTTGAAAAGTTGTAAAATAAAGGAGTCATAATAGGACAGAGTTGGTCATTTTGTTTGAAGTAGGAGAGATCTGAGCTAGTCAGTGAAGAAGGTGAAAATGCAAACCTTAAAGGTTTGCAAAGTGAAATGCCTTTATACTTTGTCTGCGAAGGCCAGATAGTAAACAGTGCAGCAAAAGAAATGAAAATATCACAGCAGGCACAGGCATAAGGCTGGAGCCAAAAGAACAGGGCTACGGTGTACAGATGGCTCAGGTCTATGAGCAGGTTTAAAATGAATAAATTTATTTATTTATTTATTTATTTTTGAGAAGGAGTCTCACTCTGTTGCCCAGGCTGGAGTGCAGTGGCTGGATCTCAGCTCACTGCAAGCTCTGCCTCCCGGTTTACGCCATTCTCCTGCCTCAGCCTCCCGAGTAGCTGGGACTACAGGTGCCCGCCACCTCGCCTGGCTAGTTTTTTGTATTTTTTAGTAGAGACGGGGTTTCACCATGTTAGCCAGGATGGTCTCAATCTCCTGACCTTGTGATCTGCCCGTCTCGGCCTCCCAAAGTGTTGGGATTACAGGCTTGAGCCACCATGCCCGGCCTATTTATTTATTTTTGAGAAGAGTCTTGCTCTGTTACCCAGGTTGGAGTGGCGTGATCTTGGCTCACTGCAACCTGGGTCTCCTGGGTTCAAGTGATTATCCTGCCTCAGCCTCCCAAGCAGCTGGGATTATAGGCACGCCCCACCATGCCTGGCTAATTTTTGTATTTTTAGTAAAGATGGGGTTTTGCCATGTTGGCCAGGCTGGTCTCGAACTCCTGACCTCAGGTGATCCACCCTTCTTGGCCTCCCAAAGTGCTGGGATTACAGGCATGAGCCACCGTGCCAGCCTTAGGTCAGGTACTTCTATGTGTGTTTTCGCTTAATCTTCCCAACAAGTCTACAAAACAGGTGGGTGTTGACCTTGTTAAAGAGGAATTAATCAACTATTTGCTATCTGGCTTTCACAGAATTCTGCAAACCTTGAAGGGAGGCCAGTGTCTGGGCAGTGCGCTGTTTTGTTTCGTGTTCCATGGGTCTTGAACTGAAATCTGTTTATGAAGAGACATGAGGTGGAAAGTGGAAAGAGTGGAAAAGAGTTGCCCCCAGGACAGGGAGTGGCAATAGTGCCTCTGCTGGAGACGACAGGAGTCACATAATGGAGGTAAGAGCAAATACAGAAAATCAGGGGAAATACACAGTAAGTATATTATATTCCATTGCAAAGTAAACATGTCTCCACACAGGCAAATGGCTACCAAATCTTAGATCCCCCATCTTGCCTTTCTCACTATACTTGTCCTGGCCACACCACAAAACTTCTCAACTTTGTGGTGGGTGTGGTTGAAGCAGGGCAGAGATCTTCAGTGATGCTGCTCAGTTTCAATTTTAGTAACAGGAACCAGGTCTCGTTAGTTGAGGACAAACATTTTGACTATTTGCAATCCACCATAAACCTTAGTGATGGCTGGCTCTCATTAACCTTTGGCTTCCTGAGTGTAACAAAGGTACAACTGAGAGAGCCAAAGATCTTACACAGTCTCAATGATTCTACTTAATATCCTTCCATTGTCACCGGCTGTTACCTTATGCTTTTTCTATAAATAAAATATAGGAATCAATAATGGTAAAAATATGTCATGACATCAACATGAATAATCCAATGTACTGTCTAAGCAGAAAGTGCACTAAGGCATTTGGAAGTGGCTGTAGACTGTATGGTGACATCAGACATCTACTCTTCAGTCCATCAACAGAGTCTGGTATCAACTAGCATAACTGGGAACAAAATCAGTAACAGAATTTCACTTATTGGTGACTATGATACTAAAATTTCCAGGACTTCAACAACTGCTGAAGTTATAAGTGAGAGAGTCTGAATGTGGAGTCCAAACCACCAAACAGAGCCCCTGGTTTCTACTCACCGGTCTGAGGAAGGGCTTCTGGACCTGCTTTGTGAGGATGTGGAACATGTCCACAGTTTCGGTGGCCAGGGCGAGGTAAGAGCGGGACACGCGCTCATCCTGAGCAAGCTGAGACTGACGGGCCTGCTGCTGATCCTAGGACACATCGAACAATCGCCAAGTAAGGCTCGGTCCTGGTCATCAGCTCAGCAAAGCGCCAAGCGCATAACTGGAAAGTGCGCGATAAATCCAACATGCTTAGGGAATGATGGAACCGCCCACCACAGCAAATTTCCCAGGTAACTGAAGTTTCATCCCAGATAACTGAAGTTTCATCCTTTCAGCCTCGGAGCTCTTTGAGACTTCCAGCCAGGTGACGTTGGTGCCTTATTTACCTCCCATGAGCCTCTGCTTCCTCAATGATAAAAGAAGTCACCATCTACCGGGTGCGGTGGCTCATGCATGTAATCCCAGCACTTTGCGAAGCCAAGGTGGGCGGATCACAAGGTCAAGAGATCAAGACCATCCTGGCCAACATGGTGAAACCCCCATCTCTACTAAAAATACAAAAATTAGCTGGGGATGGTGGCTCACAGCTGTAGTCCCAGCTACTCAGGAGGCTGAGGCAGGAGAATTGCTTGAACCCAGGAGGCGGAGGCTGCAGTGAGCTGAGATCACGCCGCTGCATTCCATCCTGGTGACAGAGCCAGACTCCGTCTCAAAAAAAGAAAGTCACCATCAACTTCTATGCAGGATGAAATAAGAGAATCGAATATAGTATCTGACACACATCATGGTACTAAGGGCAGTTTATTTCCCTTAATAATAACTTTTACTTAGTCATCATCATTATTATTTGTTGAGATGGAGTTTCGCTCTTGTTGCCCAAGCTGGGGTGCAATGGCGCAATCTCGGCTCACCACAACCTTCGCCTCCCAGGTTCAAGCAATTCTCCTGCCTCAGCTTCCCGAGTAGCTGGGACTACAGGAACATGTCACCGTGCCCGGCTAATTTTATATTTTTAGTAGAGATGGGGTTTCTCCATGTTGGTCAGGTTGGTCTCGAACTCCCCGCATGTCAGGTGATCTCCCTCCTGAAGTGTTGGGATTACAGGCGTAAGCCACGGTACTCGGCCTTCTATTATTATTATTATTTTGGAGATAGAGTCTTGCTCTGTCACCCAGGCTGGAGTGCAGTGGCACAGTCTTGGCTCACTGTAACCTCTGCCTCCCGGGTTCAAGTGATTCTCATGCCTCAGCCTTCCAGGTAGCTGGGATTACAGGAGTGCACCACCATGCCTGGCTAATCCTTTGTTGTTGTTGTTATTTATTTATTTATTTATTTATTTATCTATCTTGAGACAGGGTCTCACTCTGTTGCCCAGGCTGGAGTGCAGTGGTAGGATCTTGGCTCACTGCAATCTCCGCCTCCCGGGTTCAAGCCATTCTCCTGCCTCAGCCTCCTGAGTAGCTGGGATTACAGGTGCATGCTACCATGCTTGGCTAATTTTTGTATTTTTGGTAAAGATTGGGTTTTTTGCCATGTTGACCAGGCTGGTCATGAACTCCTGACCTCAGGTGATCCATCCACCTCGGCCTCCCAAAGTGTTGGGATTACAGGCGTGAGCCACTGCGACTGTTCTCATTTTTGTATTTTTAGTAGAGATGGGGTTTCACTATGTTGGTCAGGCTGGTCTCAAACTCCTGACCTCAAGTGATCTGCCCACCTAGGCTTCCCAGAGTGCTGGGATTACAGGTGTGAGCCACCATGCTCAGCCAGTCTTCATTATTTTAAAACTATGAGATGCAGTGTGCTACAGTATTGAGGCCTATGGGGTCTGCCTCTCTGCCTCTGTAAGTGTCTGTGTACTACTAAGCTTTTTAAATTTTGTCTTTCCACACTGTGAGGCTGTCACACCACAGAACTGTCAGCATGCTTGCCTCTGGCGCAGTCTCCTCCTTCAACTCTGCCATGGACTGGGGAGGAGATGATAAGAGCTGTTTGACTCATGGATACAATCAGGTACTGCACTGCAGGCTCTGAAATGGATACAATCAGGTACTGCACTGCAGGCTCTGAAACGGATCAAACACAGACCCACCAGGAAAAGCCTCAATTCTTACATCTGTTCGGAGGCCTTTTCTTGTTGGGAAAGGAACACAGCTGGAGTAGCTGAAGCTGGCTAGTGAGTGCCCTCTGGGTAAGTGCTCCAGTCTGCTTGATGGACATTCTGCAGGGATACTGGGGGGCCTGCCGTTCCCTGGCCAAGAATGAGTCCACTGAAAGAAAGGCAGCGCCAGGAAAGACACAAGAACAGCCAGGCGTGAACTACCTAAATGTGTACCTGGGTGTCTCAACAGGCCTTTCCTCAGCCTTTGGGTACTGGAGATAGAATAATAAGGCTCCCAACCCTAGATTCCATTAGGGAGGATGGCTTCATAGAAACGAATACCCTAACAGATACAGTAAGTCTGACAGTGATGAGGAAAAATGAAGCAGGGTCAGGGGTCAGGGAATGCTACTCTGGAAAGGGTGGTCAGGGAAGGTCTCCCTGAGGGAGTGCGTATCTGAAGGAGTCAGGAAAATCTGGGGGGAAGAGCATTCCAGGTAGGGGGAAGAGCAGGTGCAAAGGCCCTCACGTGTCAGTGCAAGGGCCAGGAGGTGAGTCTGGCTGGGGTAGAGTGAGTGGAGGAGAGACTGTCCGAAGCTGAGAGCAGAAACACATTGTGGTGCCAGGTCCTGCTGAGTGCTGTAGGCTGCTCTCATCATGGGATTTGGCTCTGAGTGAGAAGGGATGCCCAGAATGGCTGAGCTGAGTGGCGATATTGATCAGACTGATTTTTTTTTTCTTTTTTTTTTTTTTTTGAGACAGAGTCTTGTTCTATTCCCCAGGCTGGAATGCAGTGGCGTGATCTCGGCTCACTGCAAGCTCTGCCTCCCGGGTTTACGCCATTCTCCTGCCTCAGCCTCCTGAGTAGCTGGGACTACAGGCGCCCGCCACCTTGCCCGACTAGTTTTTTTGTATTTTTTAGTAAAGACGGGGTTTCACCATGTTAGCCAGGATGGTCTTGATCTCCTGACCTTGTGATCCACCCGTCTCGGCCTCCCAAAGTGCTGGGATTAGAGGCTTGAGCCACCGCGTCCGGCCCAGACTGAGATTTTTAACACCATCCCTGATATGGACATGCTCAAGAGTGGAGGTTGAAGACCAAGCAGTGGGCTACTGCAATAATCCAGGTAAGAGATGCCAATGGTCTGGAGGTGGTGAGAAGAGGTTAGATAATGGACATACTTTAAGACAGAGCCTAGAGGCATTTGCTGAGAGACGCAGAGAAATCAAGAACAACTCCAAAGCATTGAGCCTGAGCAGCTGGTAGAACGAAGGCGCAATTTACTGAGATTGGGCAGACTCAGGCAGGAGATGTGGACAACATCAAGGTTCTGTTTTGGATGTGGTGAGTTTGAGACACCTGTAGACACTTGTAGACAAATACTTGGTCTACAAGCCTGTAGTCAGGTGAAATCTGAGCTGGGGAGATCCATTCTGGAGTCTCTAGAATACAGGTATTTAACGCCTTGGAATACCTGAGCTCACCAAGCAGTGATTTTCACCAGGGGACATCGGGTTATGCGTGGGAGTGTTTCTCGTTGCCTGATGGCTGGGGGTAGGAGGGTACATCCCTGGCATTAAATGGCACGAAATAGAGATTCTGTATGTCCTGCAATATATGGGATGGTTTCTCATCATGAGTTATTATTATACCAAATTCCACTAGGCTCAAAATTCCAACTAGTGCCCTCGCTGAGAAACACTAACCTAGAGAGCACTAGTGGGAAAGAAATTGAAGCCTGAGGGTCGAGTGCCGGAGCTCACCAAGCACAGACGTCAGGAGATGAGCAGGAACAGCCAGGGTAGTGGGAGGGAGAAAGTGACTTCAAAGCCAAATAAAAATTATTTCTGAAATAGCAATTGCTGGAACTATTTGTGCCTTTTTCATCCAGTAACAGAGGAAAAATCAGTATTATTTGTTCAGTTGGCTCATAAACAAATGCTATTAAGTATTGACTACGACTGTGCTATAGACCTGCATTCCAACATCTAAAATATACACTGGCCGGCCATGGTGGCTCACAACTATAATCCCAGCATTTTGGGAGGCTGAGGTGGGAGGACTGCCTGAAGCCAGGAGGTTGTAGGCTGTAGTGAGCTAAGATCTGCCATTGCACTCCAGCCTGGGCGACAGAGCAAGACTCTCCTTCTTCCCTTCTTTTTTTTTTTTTTTTTTTTTGAGACAGCGTCTCGCACTGTCACCCAGGCTGAAATGTGAAATGTAGTGGCATGGTATCAGCTCACTCTAACCTCCACTTCCTGGGTTCAAGTGATTCTCCCACCTCAGCCTCCCAAGTAGCTGGGATTACAGGCGCCCGCCACCATGCTTGGCTAATTTTTGTATTTTTAGTAGACACTGGGTTTTGCCATGTTGGCCAGGTTGGTCTCAAACTCCTGACCTCAGGTGATCTGCCGGCCTCGGCCTCCCAAAGTGCTGAGATTACAGGTATGAGCCACTGTGCCCAGTCAAGACTCTGTTTCTTTTTTTTTTTTTTTTTGAGACAGAGTCTCGCTTAGTCGCCCAGGCTGGAGTGCAGTGGCGCGATCTCGGCTCACTGCAAGCTCCGCCTCCCGGGTTCACGCCATTCTCCTGCCTCAGCCTCCCGAGTAGCTGGGACTACAGGCGCCCGCCGCCTCGCCCGGCTAATTTTTTGCATTTTTAGTAGAGACGGGGTGTCACAGTGTTAGCCAGGATGGTCTCGATCTCCTGACCTTGTGATCCGCCCGCCTCGGCCTCCCAAAGTGCTGGGATTACAGGCGTGAGCCACCGCGCCCGGCCCAAGACTCTGTTTCTATTAAAAAAAAAATAATAATAAGGCCAGGCACGGTGGCTCATGTCTGTAATCCCCACACTTTGGGAGGCTGAGGTCGGTGGATCGCTTGAGGCCAGGAGTTCAAGACCAGCCTGGTCAACATGGCAAAACCCCATCTCTACTAAAAATACAAAAATTAGCCAGGTGTGGTGGTGCATGCCTGTAATCCCAGCAGGCAGAAATTGAGCCAAGATCGTGCCACTGCACTCCAGCCTGGGTGACAGAGTAAGACTCTCTCAAAAAATAAAACAAAACAAAACAAAATAAAAAATAACAATTTAATAATCAAAATAATAAGTAAATAAAAGATATGACCAGCTTGGGAAAACTAGCAATTAAATATCAAAAATATTAAAATATTATATTTTAATATTTATTTATTTGAGACGGAGTCTTGCTCTGTCACCCAGGCTGGAGTGCAGTGGCACGATCTTGGCTTACTGCAACCTCCACCTCCTGGGTTCAAGCAATTCTTCTGCCTCAGCCTCCTGAATAGCTGGGACTACAGGTGTGTGCCACCACGTCCAGCTAATTTTTGTATTTTTAGTAGAGACGGGCTTTCACCATGTTGGCCAGAATGGTCTTGATCTCTTGACCTTGTGATCCACCTGCCTTGGCCTCCCAAAGTGCTGGGATTATAGGCATGAGCCACCGCGCCCGGCCTAATATTTATTTTTAAAGGATGGGACACTTTATGAATTTGCATGTCATCCTCAAGCAGGGGCCATGGTAATCTTCTCTGTATTTTTCCAATGTTAGTATACGTGCTGCTGAAGCATGTGAGAACTTGTCTGTGTAAAAAAAATTTTTTTTTTTTTTTTTTTGAGACGGGGTCTCACTCTGTCGCCCAGGTTGGAGTGCAGTGGCCGGATCTCAGCTCACTGCAAGCTCCGCCTCCCGGGTTCACGCCATTCTCCTGCCTAAGCCTCCCGAGTAGCTGGGACTAGAGGCGCCCGCCGCCTCGCCCGGCTAGTTTTTTGTATTTTTTTAGTAGAGACAGGGTTTCACCGGGTTAGCCAGGATGGTCTCGATCTCCTGACCTAGTGATCCGCCCGTCTCGGCCTCCCAAAGTGCTGGGATTACAGGCTTGAGCCACCGCGCCTGGCCAAAAAAAAAAATTTTTTTAAATTAGCCAAGCGTGGGGGTGCATGCTTTTAGATCCAGCTATTTGGGAGGCTGAGGCAGGAGGACCACTTGAGCCCAGGAGGTTGAGGCTGTGGTGTGCTATGATCCTGCCACTGCACTCCAGCCAAGGCAACAGATCAAGACTCTGTCTCTATTTATTAATAATAATAAAAAACAAATAAGTAAATAAAATATAAGCTGGGCATACCAAGCACTGTGAATGGTATAAAGTGGGTGTTACAGAAGTAAGAAGAAACGTGAGAATTTTCAGCTATGCTGATTGGCGAAGACAAACCTGAGTGAGTATTTGGATAGGACCTTACTCAGAGAATGGGTAGAACTTTAATACATAAGAAAAGCAGGTATAAATGGGAGCTAAACACATGGACAGAGATGGGAACAATAGACACTGGAGACAGGGGAGTGAGGGAGGAGCAAGGGTTGAAAAACTACCTATTAGGTATTATGCTCACTCCCTGGGCGACAGGTTGAATCATAAAACCTCAGCATCACATGATATACCCACATAACAAATCTGCACATGTACCCCATTCCCTGAATCTAAAATAAAAGTTGAAATTAAAAAAGAAAAAAAAATGGCTGGGCATGGTGACTCACGCCTGTAGTCCTAGCACTTTGGGAGGCTGAGGCAGATGGATCACCTGAGGTTAGGAGTTCAAGACTGGCCTGGCCAACATGATGAAACCCCGTCTCTACTAAAAATACAAAAGCTGGCCGGGCGCAATGGCTCACGCCTGTAATCCCAGCACTTTGGGAGGCTGAGGAGGGCGGATCATGAGGTCAGGAGATCGAGACCATCCTGGCTAACATGGTGAAACTAAAAATACAAAAAATTAGCCAGGTGTGGTGGCAGGCGCCTGTAGTCCCAGCTACTTGGAAAGCTGAGGCAGGAGAATCGCTTGTACCTGGGAAGCAGAGGTTGCAGTGAGCCGAGATCGCACCACTGCACTCCAGCATGGGTGAGAGAGCTAGACTCCATCTCAAAACCAAATAAACAAACAAACAAAATACAAAAATTAGCTGGGCTTGGTGGCAGGCACCTGTAATTCCAGCTATTCGGGAGGCTGAGGCGGGAGAATCGCTTGAACTGGAGAAGCTGGGACTGCAGTGAGCCGAGATCGCACCACTGCACTCCTGCCTGGGCAACAAGAGTGAAACTCGGTCTCAGAAAAAAAAAAAAAAAAAAAAGAAAGGAAAAGAAAAGAGAAAGTGAAGAAAAAGCAGTCCTCCCCACTTTGACATGAGAACCCCTTATGGAAATCAGTTCTGATTCTGAGCCTGACAATTCCAAGAACAGAATCAATAAACCTAAGCCAATCTAAGAAGTCACCAGCAACTGTCAAGGGCCTCATAAGCAACCAAGGATGTATCTCAGCTGCTGCTACGCACGTCAGGAAAGAGCACTGGCACCGGCACAGCACGTGTTTTCCATGGAACCTGGCAAGCCAGGCCTCTGTTCTATTAATAACTGAATATAAAACCCAAGATCAACTGAAAGGAAAAAAAACACCCCACCAGGATCCTGAGTGATTCACACAGTTGCCTAGAGAAGCCCATAGGAACAAATCAAATTCTTGTCCAGCAGACATAATTCTAGAGATTTCTTTCCTAATTATGTTCATGAATCTTAATATATTCAGACAATAAAAGCTCTTCTCCAAAAAAGTCCTTTAAAATTAAAAAGGCAGAGAAAGTTTTCAGTGTACATTTTCAAAGACTTCTCAACCCATTTCTTAGCTCCAGATAAGGTGTTTCAGATTTTTCCTATTCCAACCCTGCAATATGATTTCATGGAAGGAAAATCCCAGCAAGTCAGATCGCATATCATCAGACCCACAAATGCAGCCCCAAAGCAGCTCTGCCCGTGTCCGGAGGCAGATGGCCTGCAAAGCTGTCCAAGCCTCTGGACCACGTCCTCACCCGGGGCAACTGGTCCCACTGTTCTTTGTTCTTCATCTCTTCCTGCACTTCATGGATTCGCTTCAGAGACTCCAGACTTTCATCAAGCAAAAACGTCGTGTCGTTTATCAACATGTTTATATAGCGAACAAACTGCTTCCCGGAGCTGGAAAGGCAATTATATTGTGCATGGTCATACATCTCCCTGAAGCAAAACGCCACTGCAAATCCCGGGGAACAGGCGCCTCTACCCACACTGCAACTATCTCACCCTAAAAGCCTGCCTACCCTGGCACAAGTCAGGCACTGTGGAATTCAAGGACTACCAAGCTTCTCTTTAGATTTTGTTAATCTTGTTTCTTTTTGAGACAGGGTCTTGCTCTGTCGCCCAGCCTGGAATGCAGTGGCACGATCACAGCTCACTGTATCCTCGACCTCCAGGGCTCAAGCAATCTTCCTGCTTCAGCCTCCTAAGTAGCTGGAACTACAGACACACGCCACCACGCCCAGCTAACTTTTGTATTTTTTGTAGAGACAGGGACTTGTTATGGTGCCAGGGCTGGTCTCAAACTCCTGGGCTCAAGCGTTCTTCCCACCTCAGCCTCCCAAAGTGTTGGGATTACAGAGATGAGCCACTGCACGTGGCCTGGATTTTTGTTATTCTTTTAAATTGTTTATGATAAGCTCATTCCAGTGGTGTTTGGAGCCACCTTGCATGATTGATGACAGTCAAGTGCTAAATATTCCAGAATTTTATAACCAGATTCCCCTGGCACCTTAAATTGGTCAATGGAGGAAATAGTCACACCATGGAAAACCAGCAAATGCTGACTCCCCCACCCCGCTTCCCAGAGCAGGCTTACCTAGCTTACCTAGCTTACCTAGCTTACCTAGCTTACCCAGTTCACTCCCTCAGTGTTTTTAAGGAGAGAAAACACGTTCTCCAGACTAGAACAGGAAATACGCATATACTCACCAATATACCAAGAAAAAGCAAATAATTAACCACATATAACAGATAACTACTGATATAGTTATTCCTTATCACAAAGACTGACGCACTGAAGAAAAATTGGAACCTGTAATATTGATAAAGTGGGATATTAACTTACTTTAGAACCAGAAGCTTCCAATCTAAGGAACTGTTCTGCAAATCGTGTTATAACGAGAACTTGTCGGTGAACTGAAATAGCTTGGCCTACCTCTGTTAGACTCTGGAGCTGCCAGATTCGTAGAGAAAAAAGAAGCTACACTTCAGGGTCTACAACTGTGCACTTGGGGGGTGGTAAGCCCATGCCTGGGGAAGAGAAGTTCCTGTGAACAGGGACAGGAGGCCTCAATCTCAGGAACATGGTAAGTTCAGGACAAGTGCTCCAATCAGCACCATTCAGAGACCAAGCCATGGGCCTGCCTCGTGTCCTAAGCTTGTGCCAGGCTTTAGCTGGAACACAATTCTGACCATAAGAGCAGTTTATGGAAACAAAAAGTTAAAGAGTTTGCTCCACAGAAATCTATCTAGCAAATAGTTATTCCACTGGTAATATGTATATTATTGACTAGTAATTCGGTTAACAAGTATAGCTAGATTTGATCAAAGATCTAACATGGGTTGCAAAAGATCCAAGAAATGGGATAAAATTATTATTTATTTATTTACTTATTTATTTTTTTCAGAAAGAGTCTTGCTCTGTCACCCAGGCTGGAGTGTAATGGCGTGATCTTGGCTCACTGCAAGCTCTACCTCCCGGGTTCATGCCATTCTCCTGCCTCAGCCTCCCAAGTAGCTGGGACTACTGGCGCCTGCTACCACGCCCGGCTAATTTTTTATATTTTTAGTAGAGACGGGGTTTCACTGTGTTAGCCAGGATGGTCTCGATCTCCTGACCTCGTGATCCGCCCGCCTCAGCCTGGGTGCTGGGATTACAGGCATGAGCCACCGCGCCCGGCCCTTAGATAGGATAAAATTTTTGAAGAATAATCCAAGAGTTCAGCATCTTCATCTCCCTTTTGTTTTTAGACACTGACAGATAATTTAGATGGGATTACTAATGTCCAGGTTTAAGCAGTCACTCAGATTTCAGGTAGGTACATGAAAAGTCTTTAATTAAGGTTTAGGGCCTTACTACAAAGAATGATACTTTAAATGACAGCTCTGACCTAATTGTTGCAAAATCTAAAGTCCTTCCAACGTTCAAGAACTAAGATTTCATTTCACTCATTTTGACAACTTCATTTAACACTGTCATCATAGAAACACCAAAAAAACACTTAACCCAACATCTCAGCATATTCACAGGATCTTTTCTTTTCTTTCTTTTTTTTTTTTTTTTTTTTGAGACGGAGTCTCGCTCTGTCGCCCAGGCTGGAGTGCAGTGGCCGGATCTCAGCTCACTGCAAGCTCCGCCTCCCGGGTTTACGCCATTCTCCTGCCTCAGCCTCCCGAGTAGCTGGGAGTACAGGCGCCCACCACCTCGCCTGGCTAGTTTTTTGTATTTTTAGTAGAGATGGGGTTTCACCGTGTTAGCCAGGATGGTCTCAATCTCCTGACCTCATGATCCGCCTGTCTCAGCCTCCCAAAGTGCTGGGATTACAGGCTTGAGCCACCGCGCCCGGCCTTTTTTTTTTTTTCTTTTCCTGAGACGGAGTCTCGCTCTGTGGCCCAGGCTGGAGAGCACTGGCACAATCTTAGCTCACTGCAACCTCTGCCTCCCGGGTTCAAGCAATTCTCCTGCCTCAGCTTCCCAAGTAGCTGGCATAACAGGCGTGTGCCACCACACTCAGCTAATATTTTGTATTTTTAATAGAGATGAGGTTTCACCATGTTGGCCAGGCTGGTCTTGAACTCCTGACCTCAAGTGATCCGCCCTCCTCTGCCCTTCCCAAAGTGCTGGGATTACAGGCGTGAGCCACCACTCTCTGCCCTATAGGATCTTTGCTTGTGTACCACCCCCAAGGTATCTTGACAAATCTAAAATTCAGCAATATCTTGCAAGCAAAGCCATTTTAAAAATCCTGCCCACATTTAGTGGCACCTTGTGGTAAACTCAAAAGGAGTCTGAGACCACCAAGCAAACAGTCCACCAGAACCCAGCTGTGCCAGCTTTTAAGCTGCAATCCTACCTGCGATTTGCAAGAAAGCAAGTTGTGACACGAGGGGCCCCATACTCACTTGAACTCCTCCATAAAGGTGCCATGGTGAGCTATGTTTTGCCAAAGGCTTTTAAAAATGGTGCTAATGTGATAGCGAATTGTGAACTTGTCATAAAACTCGCTGGTGGCTCCGGTATGCTCAACATCTAAAGAAGAAAGACAAAGGGACTGAGGGATATGTACTTTCTTACTTTCCAAATCCAGTTATTGCCCCAACAATGATAGTGAATGTAAATGTGCAACATCAGAGAGCCGGTGAAATTTTGCACCTCTGCATGTAAGGCAGGACAGAAATGATAAGCTGCTTTTAGAGACAAAAGTTTCACAATGAAGATTTGACGACGACACACCACCGAAAGGAACGGGGCTAGGAAAACTCCCATCATTAGGACAGCGTCAACTTACCAACGACCAAAAGCTGAATTATCATACTCCCCCACCTAATTTTAAGTCATTAATTTACAGAAAATCTATGGCACCTCAAATGGACATCCTTCAGCAGATAAAAAGTTAGGTTTAATTTTACTGAGGGCCACGTACTTCTTAAATGTGTCTATCTATTGACCATTTTTGGTGTTGAAAAAAAACCAATGTGTCTACCATCCCTATACCTACTAAAGAGGGATGAAAATCAAACTTGTTTGTCCAAATGGCAAAAGCTTAGGCTGAGAAATTTCAGAATTCATGACAAATTTTAATTTATTATTATTATTATTTTTTGAGACAGAGTCTCGCTGTTGCCAGGCTGGAGTGCAGTGGCGCAATCTCAGCTTACTGCAACCTCTGCCTCTGGGTTCAAGCAATTCTCCTCTCAGCCTCCTGAGTAGCTGGGACTATAGGCGTAAGCCACCATGCCCAACTAATTTTTGTATTTTTAATAGAGATGGGGTTTCACCATATTGGCCAGGATGGTCTCATCTCTTGGCCTCATGATCCTCTCACCTTGGCCTCCCAAAATGCTGGGATTACAGGCGTGAGCCACCATGCCCGATTATTTTATTATTATTTTTTAGGAGACAGGGTCTTGCTCTGTCGCCCAGGGTGAAGTGCAGTGGTGTGATAATGGCTCACTACAGCCTCAACCTCTCAGGTTCAAGTGATCTCCCACCTCAGCTTCCCAAGTAGGTGGGACTGGAGGTGCATCCACCACGCCCGGCTTATTTTTTACGGCCAGGTGTGGTGGCTCACGCCTATAATCCCAGCACTTTGGGAGGCTGAGGCAGGCAGATCACTTGAGGCCAGGAGTTCAAAACCAGCCTGGCCAACATAGCAAAACCATGCCTTTACTATTGATAAAAATACAAAAACTAGCTGGGCATGGTGGTGTGTGCCTATAATTCCAGCTACTCGGGAGGGTGAGGCAGGAGAATTGCTTGAATCCAGATACAGAGATCCAGATACAGAGGATGCAGTGAGCCAAGGTCATGCCACTGTACTCCAGCCTGGGCGACAGAGCAAGACTCCGTCTCAAAAACATTTTTTTTCATTTTTATTTTTTTACAGATGGGGTCTATGTTGCCCAGGTTGATTCCAAATTCCTGGCCTCAAGTGATCCTCCCACCTCGTCCTTCCAAAGTACTGAGATTACAGGTGTGAGCCACTATAGCTTGTCTTTGATATTTTCTATATTTTCCAAAGAACATATTTTTGTGTGTGTGACCAAAAAAGAAAACAGCTATTTAAAAATAAAAGAATAAGATAATTAACACCTATCATATTAAGATCTGAAAGTACTTATGTATACTCATTAAGTCAACCTTTCCTTAAAATAAACTAAATGTCATTTATTAATTGTATAAAAGTGTGAGCTACAGTGTGGCATGCTGACATAAGGACAGCCTACAAGAGGAAGATACTGGAGGACCAACTCAATGCCTCATATCATCTAAAATGCCCCTAATATCTGCATCAAATTCTGAATATAGTAGAGACTCAGTAAACATTGTTAATTTATTATGTAACAATATGTATCTCAGCAGGGCCCCACATCTGTATTTCCAGCACTTTGGGAGGCCCAGGTGGGCAGATCACTTGAGCTCAGGAGTTTGGGACCAGCCTGGTGAACATGGTGAAACCCCGTCTCTACAAAAACCACAAAAATTAGCCAGGTGTGGTGGCACATGCCTGTAGTCCCAGCCGCTTGGGAGGCTGAGATAGGAGGATCACTTGAGCCCGGGAGGTCAAGAGTGCATGGAGCTGTAATTGTGCCACTGCACTCTAGCGTGGATGACAGAGCAAGACCCTACCTCAAAAAAAAAAAAAAAAAGAAAAGAAAAGAAAAGAAAATGAAACAATATACATTTCTCCCAACATTTTTTTTCTTCTTATTTACTTGTACTGTTCCATCAAAATCATACCAGCCCAAGTTCTAATTCCCAGGTCCTGGTTCCAGAAGGCCGTAAGTGGACTCGACTTGTGTGGAACCTCTCTCTCCCCACCCAGGTATTCTTGCTGCCTTCTTTCTTTCTTTCTTTTTTTTTGAGATGGAGTCTCTGTAGCCCAGGCTGGAGTACAGTAGCAAGATCTTGGCTCACTGCAACCTCCACCTCCCAGGTCCTGGTTCAAGCAATTCCCCTGCCTTAGCCTCCCAAGTAGCTGGCATTACAGGTCCCCGCCACCACACCCAGATAATCTTTTGTATTTTTAGTAGAGACAGGGTTTCACCATGTTGGCCAGGCTGGTCTCTAACTCCTGGCGTCAAGTGATTCACCCATCTCAGACTCCCAAAGTGCTAGGATTACAGGTGTGAGCCACCGCGCCCAGCCTAACTTGAGCATTTTCTAAGCTAAAATACTATCTGTGTGGTGTAAGAGGAGCTTGTTCCACATACTGATTTTATGTGTGGCAACTCTAATTTATATCTGAGAGTCCCATCTGCTCCGGGACCAGGACCTAATCGGCCAGGTCTTCACATGGAGGCAATGAGCACTGGGGACTATGTCTGTGATTCCTCCCTCGGGGGTACCCTCACACCAGTCCCTTAGTAGCTGTAGTAGTCAGGGGCACCTGTGCTAAAGGGCATCTGCGAGGTTGCTGCCACTTGCTAGCCACTGACCTTCAGCAAGCTTCTTGACCCTTTTAAGCTTCAGTTTCCTCATTTGTAAAGTGGAGGTATTTATAGTACTATCTTTAGGGCTGCTGTGGGGATTAAGTGAAAGGATTAGTAAGCATTCAATGAGTGGTGGCTATTATTAGTACAGATGTCATCCATCCATGACTACAGAGGTGGTCCAGGCCAGAGGGCACACATGGCAAAGATGAAAGAGAGAACAACCCCCACCCATCACCTTCTGGAACATTCCCAGCAGGTCTCCACTAGGCCCAGCACTGGTCTCATAGGCAACAGGCCCAGTTCTGTTGTGTGTACACACACACACACACACACACACATACTCTCTCTCTCTCTCTCTCTCTCTCATTCTCTCTTTATCCTGAAGCCACACTGACAGGCCCAGAACACTGACTACAAAATAAATTTAACTAAAATTATTTTATCTTTACTACTAACAACACACGTTTACTGTAGAAAAATTAAGAAGTTCAGATAATAAAATAAAAATAAAAACTATTTATAATGCTATCATTCAAAAATAACCAATGCACTGTTAATATTTTGGTATATGTCCTTCCCTACATTCTTTTTTTTTTTTTTTTTGAGATGGAGATTTGCTCTTGTCACCCAGGCTGGAGTGCAATGGCACGATCGTGGCTCACTGCAACCTCTTCCTCCCTGATTCAAGCGATTCTTCTGCCTCAGACTCCAGAGAAGTTGGGACTACAGGTGTGCACCACTATGACTGGCTAAATTTTTTTGTACTTTTAGTAGAGACAGAGTTTCACCATTTTGGCCAGGCTAAGCCTCCAACTCCTGACCTCAGGTGATCCTCCTGCCTCAGCCTCCCAAAGTGCTGGGATTTTACAGATGAGAGCCACCAAGCCCGGCCTTTTTTTCTTTTCTTTTTTACTTTTTTCTAATATAAATGTGAACACAGTGTTTCATTTTCTTGACTTTTTGTTGCTAAACCACTTAACATAAATAACACATTATTTTTTATGACTCATATAGGTCCACTTTATGGATAACATACAACTTTGTATCTATAACTGGCAGAAATTTCAGTCATGATTTTTTTTCTTTTTCCGAGACGTAGTCTCACTCTGTTGCCCAGGCTGGAGTGCAGTGGTGCCATCTCAGCTCACTGCAACCTCCGCTGGGATTACAGGTGCGTGCCACCATACCCAACTAATTTTTGTATTTTTAGTAGAAACGGGGTTTTATCATGTTGGCCAGGCTAGTCTTGAACTCCTGACCTCAAGTGATCTACCCACCTTGGCCTCCCAAAGTGCTGGGATTACAGGATTGAGCCACCAAGCCCAGCCAGTTGTTTTTATTGTTTTCACTACACTACATTATAAATAATGTTACGGAGAACATCACTTACAAATGCTCATAATTATTTCCACAGAATAAATTTCTAGAAATTAAATTCTTATGTCACAGTATAGCTAGTCAGCTGTTGTACCATAGCTCCAAACCCACTCTTTTATTTTTTTAGATCTCAGCTAACTGCAACCTCCGCCTCCCAGGTTCAAGTGATTCTCCTGCCTCAGCTTCCCAAGTTGCTGGGATTACACGTATGCACCACCACACCCGGCTAATTTTTTTTTTTTTTTTGAGATGAAGTCTTGCTCTGTCACCAGGCTGAAGTGCAGTGGCGCGATCTCGGCTCACTGCAACCTCCGCCTCCCAGGTTCAAGAGATTCTCCTGCCTCAGCCTCCCGAGTAGCTGGGACTACAGGTGTGCGCCACCACGTCCAGCTAATTTTTGCTTTTAGGATGGAGTTTCGCTCTTGTTGCCCAGGCTGGATTACAATGGCTCAGTCTTGGCTCACCACAACCTCTGCCTCGTGGGTTCAAGTGATTCTCCTGCCTCAGCCTCCCGAGTAGCTGGGATTATAGGCATGTGCCACCATGCCAGGCTAATTTTGTATTTTTAGTAGAGACAGGGTTTCACCACGTTGGTCAGGCTGGTTTCGAAATCCCGAGCTCAGGTGATTCGCCCGCCTCGGCCTCCGAAAGTGCTGGGATTACAGCGTGAGCCACCACGCCAGGCCTAATTTTTGTATTTTTAGTAGAGATGGGGTTTCACCATGTTGGCGAGGATTGTCTCAATCTCTTGACCTTGCGATTCGCCCACGTCAGTCGCCCAAAATGCTGGGATTACAGGCGTGAACCACCGTGCCTGGCCTAACTTTTTATTTTTAGCAGATACTAGGATTCACCATGTTGGCTAGACTGGTCTCAAACTCCTGACCTCAGGTGATCCCCCGGCCTTGGCCTCCCAAAGTGCTGGGATTATAAGTGTGAGCTACCGTGCCCGGCCGAAACCCAGTCTTTTTATTTTATTTATTTATTTTTTTAGAGACAGGGTCTTGCTCTGTTTCCCAGGCTGGAATGCAGTGGCAAGATCACAGCTCACTGCAGCCTTTAACTCCTGGGCTCAAGCCTTCCTCCCACCTCAGCCTCCTTAGTAGCTGCGACAACAGGCATCTAATTTTTAAATTTTTCACAGAGATGGGGTCTCGTCATGTTGCCCAGGCTGGTCTACAACTCCTGGGCTCAAGCGATCCTCCCACCTTGCCCTCCTAAAGTGCTGGGATTATTTGCTGGAGCCTCCGTGCGTGGCCCACATGCACTCTTTGCAGTTGGCTTTGTGATTCTGGGGCTGGCACTGCAGAATCTTTCCTTTGGTAGCCTGCCCTCTCTAGGGTTGCCAATAGGAGGTGCTGCAGGAGAACTGGAAAACTGAAGGAGAAACAAGGGACTTAGGACCTTGTACTTACTGTCAGTAGTAGCAGTTGGTTCCAATTTTCAGCTTTGTCTCACACCCCCGGAGCTAGCAACCGTGCACACCCCCCGAGACACCAGTACCAACTGGCCAAGGGCCTTCCACAGAGGACTGGGTCCTAGCTCTGTCCAAGCCCTCATCAGGGCAGCTGGGTTGTGAGATCCCCAGGCTCTTCCCTTGGGTCCCCAGACTGAGGGATAAGAGATGTAAAGGATGGCTACTTCTTGCACCTTTTATCTGTTACCCCAGTGCTCTTTTTTTTTGCTGCTTCAGTCTTCCTATATATATATATATATATATATATATTTTTTTTTTTTTTTTCTGAGACAGAGTCTCGCCCTGTCTCCTAGGCTGGAGCGCACTGGCATGATCTCGGCTCACTGCAACCTCTGCCTCCTAGGTTCAAGCGATTCTCGTGCCTCAGCCTCCTGAGTAGCTGGGAAGACAGGTGCCGCCACCACGCCCAGCTAATTTTTGTATTTTTAGTAGAGATGGGGTTTCTCCATGTTGGCCAGGCTGATCTCAAATTCCCGACCTCAGGTCATCCACCTGCCAACGTGCTGGGATTACAGGCGTGAGCCACCGCGCCTGGCTGTAAAAGCATTTTTAAGGCTCTTGGTGTGGGCTGCTAAACTGCCTTTTAGAAAGGCTTTAAATTGGGCCGGGCGCGGTGGCTCAAGCCTGTAATCCCAGCACTTTGGGAGGCCGAGACGGGCGGATCACAAACAGGAGATCGAGACCATCCTAGCTAACACGGTGAAACCCCGTCTCTACTAAAAAATACAAAAACCTAGCCGGGCGAGGTGGCGGGCGTCTGTAGTCCCAGCTACTCGGGAGGCTGAGGCAGGAGAATGGCGTGAACCCGGGAGGCGGAGCTTGCAGTGAGCTGAGATCCGGCCACTGCACTCCAGTCTGGGCGACAAAGCGAGACTCTGTCTCAACAAAAACAAAACAAAACAAAACAAAACAAAAAAAAAAAAAAAAAAAAGAAAGGCTTTAAATTTACATTCTCATGGGAGCTTCATAGCACGAAATCTGCACACTGGTATAGGGTAGATTAAGCAGGTTTTTTGCAGGTTAGCTTACTTCTCTACAACCATATTTGCACCAGGAACTTTCAACTTAAGAAATAAATTTGACAGGTGAAAAGTGGTTTGTTTGTTTTTTTGAGACGGAGTCTCATTAGCTCGCTCAGGCTGGAGTACAGTGGCAGGAATTCGGCTCACTGCAACCTCCGCCTCCCGGGTTCAAGCGATTCCCCTCACTCAACCTCCCTGGGACTACAGGTGCCTGCCACCACACCTGGCTAATTTTTTTTTGTATTTTTAGTAGAGACAGGGTTTCACCATACTGGCCAGGCTGGTCTTGAACTCCTGACCTTGTGATCCGCCTGCCTCGGCCTCCCAAAGTGCTGGGATTACAGGAGTCAGCCACCATACCTGGCCCAAGAATATGCATTTTTAACAAGCTCCCTGTTATACCCACAGTTTGGAAACTGGGTTATAGGATAGTGTTAAAAAACAAATACTTTAAGTTCAAAGGTAAAATGAACCAGATAATTCCATTCAGATAACACTACCAACTTGTACTGTTGATACCAGCTGGGTCTTGGTGTTAATCATCTGACTTTCAATGGTTCCTGCTGAATCATCAGAGACCAGTAGGTGAAATGGTTGTCCTATTCCCAAGTACTCAGGGCAAGACGAACCAAAAGTACATCCTCTGCAGGTCACAGGTTAGTAGGTTATACACAGAGGTAGCAGGATATTAGGTAACAGACTTAGAGCAACGTCGTCCACTAGCTTTAGATGACCTTGCCTAAGTGTAGCACATGGCAGGCCATGTGTGTTCCAGCAACCTACCTGTATAAAACTTCATCAGGGAAGGTACCAACAACTTGGTGGAGAGAGGATGGTTCTCAATCATTTCAAAAAACTTCTGGGTTCGTGGCTGAACAGCAGGGTTGGTCATAAACATGACTTCTACCAGTTTGGCCACCAAATACGGGTTTCGGATGTAGTTCTGGTTGCACAACATCACAACAAGGAACATCACAATATCCTGAGTACAGGGCTCATAAAGCGCCTGGGGAGAGTATCTGAATAGAGGCAAGAAGAGCAAGAAAGAGACCACTGAGAAACTCACCTTGGGTGAGGGCTGGTGTCAGTTGAGTGAGGAGGGGAAGGCAGCATAAATAGGTTTAGGAGTGCCCTTGAACTCGTTCAGTTTACAGTGACTTCCTTTTTTTTTTTTTTTGAGATGGAGCCTCACTCTGTCACCCAGGCTAGAGTGCAGTGGCACGATCTCGGCTCACTGCAAGCTCCCCCTCCCAAGTTCAAGCGATTCTCCTGCCTCAGCCTCCTGAGTAGCTGGGACTACAGGTACCCGCCACCATGCCCAGCTAATTTTTGTATTTTTAGTACAGATGGGGTTTCACCACGTTGGCAAGGATGGTCTTGATCTTTTGACCTTGTGATTCACCCGCCTTGGCCTCCCAAAGTGCTGGGATTACAGACGTGAGCCATTGCACCCAGCCTATAGTGACTATTTATACTGTAACAAGACAGATTTAAAACCAAACGTGGTTACTGGCTGTAGCATGTTATATTAACGACAAATGAAACTTACAATTAAATCAGATAAACTTCACAAAGATCATCACTACCAAAACATCATAAAAATTTTGATAGTTATTTGTTTAATCTTTTGAAAATGAGAATAAATGAAATTTTTCAAATAGGTGTCTTTTGTATCACTGTGCGTAGAACAAATTTTAAAATATGACTTGAGTTGCTTAAATTCCAAGGTTGGTTTTTTTAAACAAATAAACCATGCTTTTGAGTCACTTTTAAAATTTCGTACCAATTAAAATCACGTGTCACCAATGATTTGGGTTTTTTTTGTGTGTTGCCCTGGCTGGAGTGTAGTGGCATGATCTCCACTCATTGCAACTTCTGCCTCTATTTGGGCATTTTTTTAAAGGTAGCTTTTATGACAGCAATATAACTTGCTCCATTTAGTTTTGGCCCTTAGTTTAAAATCATTTATACTAATTTTGTTTTTTTCCATTGTTTGTTACAAAACTTTCACAATTTGTATTCTGTAACTGGGGACCTATGCTATTTATTTATTTTTTTTTTAAAGAGATGCAGACTTGCTACATTGCCCAGACTGGTCTTGAACTAGGCTCAAGCAATCCTCCTGCACGTCTAGGACTACAAGCATGAGCCACAGTGCCCAGCGTGACTTTGACTTTTCACAGTAGACTTCACATACCACTCCCTCAGCTAGCCATAGGTGCTATCATGGTGCCAAGGGATTGAAATTGTAATTCTTCTAACCTGTAATGTTTTAGAAAGAAAATGTTAATTTGATAAACCAAATAAGGATTTGAAAAAAAAAATTAAAACCCTACAATATCAGTTGTAAATTCAAACCAATTTTTGGTAAGCATTCTCCAATTTTACAATTGAGACAAATTTTAGTACAAAATATAGATGTAGATATTTCTGGGTTTGGGATGTTCATTCAGACATTTATAAACTGCTCCTTCTGTTGCTCAGAAACACATATTCAACTATTAGAAATTCAACTCAATTTTCACAGAATACATTATCTGCACTGTTAATTCTGCCTCTGTCTTTGAGATATTATTCGAATTGGACTGGTGCCACAGTTGGATTTATTTTTTCCAGTCTCTAGGCAGCATTCAGTTACAACAGTTACATCAAATTTCAGGCATGAAATGGAGGTTTGCAACACAGCTCAGAATACTATAGTATTATGCATAAAAACATATTAGAACTATGTAAAATATTAAAGGCACTTACTGTACAATAAAAAATAAAAATTCTGCAACATCTTCTACATAAAACTCAGGCAATGCTGCAAATACCTTGGGGACATCTGAATTTAAAGGCAGTGTTATACTGTCAAAGAGAAAAAAAGCACAATTTACAAAATGAAATTATGGTACATCAAACTACAAAGAGTATTACATTACCATCAAATAAGTATTTCATTTGGAGAAAAAATTCATTCTGTAATATAACCATGTAATAAATACACAGGCAAAGAAACTACAACCAGAAATGAACAGGGAATAATGAAGACAGTACATATGCAAGGGTGTATGTGAAATGTTTTCCTTTTCTTGATTTCTTTTTTTTCTCCCCTGAGACGGAGTCTCACTCTGGCACCCAGGCTGGAGTGCAGTGGCACAATCTCAGCTCACTGCAACCTCCGCCTCCCAGATTCAATAGATTCTCACGTCTCAGCCTCCTGAATAGCTGAGATTACAGAGATTACAGGCACGCGCCATCATACCTGGCTAATTTTTGTATTTTCAATAGAAACAGGGTTTCACCATGTAGGCCAGGCTTGTCTCAAACTCCTGACCTCAACTGATCCACCTGCCTTGGCTTCCCAAAGTGCTGGGATTACAGATGTGAGCCACCTCACCCAGCCCTTCTCTTGATTTCTTTTTTTTTTTTTCTTTTTTTTTCTGAGACAGAGTCTTGCTCAGTCGCCCAGGCTGGAGTGCAGTGGCACGATCTCGGCTCACTGCAAGCTCTGCCTCCCGGGTTCACGCCATTCTCCTGCCTCAGCCTCCCAAGTAGCTGGGACTACAGGCGCCCGCCACTACGCCCGGCTATTTTTTTTTTTTTTTTTTGTATTTTTAGTAGAGACAGGGTTTCACCTTGTTAGCCAGGATGGTCTTGATCTCCTGACCTGGTGATCCGCCCATCTCGGCCTCCCAAAGTGCTGGGATTACAGGCATGAGCCACCGCGCCTGGCCAATTTCTTTTATTTTTTAGACGGAGTCTCACCCTGTCACCCAGGTTGGAGTGCAGTGACGCGATCTCAGCTCACTGCAACCTCTGCCTCCTGGGTTCAAGCAATTTTTGTGCCTCAGGCTCCTGAGTAGCTGGGATTACAGGCACCTGCCACCACACCTGGCTAATTTTTCTATTTTTAGTAGAGACGGGGTTTCACCATGTTGGTCAGGCTGGTCTCAAACTTCTGACCTCAAGTGATCCATCTGCCTCGGCCTCCCAAAGTACTGGGATTACAGATGTGAGCCACCACGCCCGGCCTTCTTGATTTCTCGTTAAGGTTAATGCAATAAATAAAATGGGAAGGAAATAAAAAGGTCATATTTGGTCATTTTGTGCAACTCAAACTGTCTGAGACAACAGAGCTACACACTTTTTTTTTTTTTTTTTTTTTCTTTGAGACGGAGTCTTGCTCTGTCGCCCAGGCTGGAGTGCAGTGGTGCAATCTTGGCTCACTGCAACCTCTGTCTCCTGGGTTTAAGCAATTCTTGCACCTCAGCCTCCTGAGTAGCTGGGATTACAGGTGCCTGCCACCACACCTAGCTAATTTTTGTATTTTTAGTAGAGATGGGGTTTCGCCATGTTGGCCAGGCTGGTCTCAAACTCCTGACCTCAAGTGATCCACCTGCCTTGGCCTCCCAAAGTACTGGGATTACAGACATGAGCTACGGCGCCTGGCCTTCTTGATTTCTTGTTAAGGTTAATGCAATAAGTAAAATGGGAAGGAAATAAAATAGTCATATTTGGTCGTTTTTGCAACCCAAACTGTCTGAGACAATGAGCTACACGTTTTCTTTTTTTTTTTTTTTTTGAGACAGAGTCTTGCTCTGTCACCCAGGCTGGAGTGCAGTGGCGTGATCTCAGCTCACTGCAAGCTCTGCCTCCCAGGTTCACGCCACTCTTCTGCCTCGGCCTCCCGAGTAGCTGCGACTGCAGGCACCTGCCACTGCGCCCGGCTAATTTTTTTGTATTTTTAGTAGAGACGGGGTTTCACGGTGTTAGCCAGGATGGTCTCGATCTCCTGACCATGTGATCCTCCCGCCTCGGCCTCCCAAAGTGCTGGGATTACAGGCGTGAGCCACTGCGCCCAGCCTACACACATATTTTAAATAATATTTTCCATTTCTTCACAGATCTTGGGCCAATCTCACCAACATCAGTGAACCAGAGACTTCATAACAGTAAAATAATAATAATAATAAATAAAACAAAAATGGTTGACTGCAGGAGATGACCAGTTGATGACAAAGTGATCAACAATGTTCTTAGCTCACTCTGAATTAGCTGAGTATTCCTGGACCCAGCGCTTAGGAGGGCCTAAGATTATCTCCAGCTTTTGGCTTCCAATTTATAGATTTCTCTTCCTATCAATCAAAGACTTTATAGCAAATTTTAAAGAAAACTTGTCAAAATTAAAATAACAGCTGTTGACATTCACCTACTATTGTAACTAATCACAGGGAAAACACCTATCAATGTAACTACATAATACATATAAATGCAATCTGGAAATTGAGAAGTGAACTCTCTTTTTTTTTTGGGTGGGGACAGAGTCTTGCTCTGTTGCCCAGGCTGGAGTGCAGTAGCACGATCTTGGCTCACTGCAACCTCCGCCTCCCGGGTTCAAACAATTCTCATGCCTCAGCCTCCTGAGTAGCTGTGACTACAGGCATCTGCCACCAAGCCCGGTTAATTTTTGTATTTTTAGTAGAGACAGGGTTTCGCCATGTTGGCCAGGCTGGTCTTGAACTTCTGACCTCAAGTTATCCATCCGCCTCAGCCTCCCAAAGTGCTGGGATTATAGGCGTGAGCCACCACGCCTTGCCGAGAAGTGAATTCTTGATAAAGAAAGGGTTTTGGTTTTAGTTATCAACTTTGAAGGACAATAAAGACAACATAGCCCAGCCAAGGAGGGACGAGGGAAACAGGAAGAAGCACACTCACTCGGGATATGCGGGGTCCAGGATGCGGAGCAGCAGCTGAATGAGAAGGCCATAAAAATTCAGACATCTTCTCAGGAAGCTCTCGTCAAGTAGGCCAGCATCAGCACAGGCCTTGCACCGTACCAGTTTCTGTGGAAGCAGGGATGCCCCCACCCAAAGATCAGTCAGTAGCTAAGTCCCTACAGGGGGACTGGGCAGGGACTGGGGCCTGGAGATGGGAAATTTGGGTTCCAGAGCTTCTAAAGCTTCATCTCTAACTAGCTATAAGATGCTGGTTGTGTCTCAAGATCTTTTTCCTGAGAAAAACAAAGGCATGGCAAGCAAACCACTGAGTACCACCAGGTCTAGCACACAGTTAAAGCTCAAAATGGTGAGTTACAAGGGTCACAAGCAAATAACTTGATCAGGAGAGGGTGGTGACAGGGAAGGCCCTTTTGTCAGGGTGGTTAGTGGGAAAAAGCCAAACAATCTGTGTTTGAATTCCAGCGCCACCTCTTACGAGCTGCCCTTGGGCAAAATGCTGTCCACTAAGGATGGAATTCTTACCTAGAGGTCTGTTGATAGAATTACACACACATGCATACACACACTGACGTATACATTTAAGCAGTTTTTTTGTTTTTGTTTTTGAGACAGAGTCTCGCTCTGTTGCCCAGGCTGAAGTTCAGTGGTGCGATCTTGGCTGACTGCAACCTCCGCCTGGCAGGTTCAAGCAATTCTCCTGCCTCAGCCTCCCAGGTAGCTGGGATTACAGGTGCCCACCATCATGCCTGGCTAATTTATTGTATTTTTAGTAGGGATAGGGTTTCACCATGTCGGCCAGGCTGGTCTCGAACTCCTGACCTCAGGTGATCTGACCGCCTCGGCCTCCCAAAGTGCTGGGATTATAGGTGTGAGCCACCGTGCCTGGCAATTTAAGCAGTTTATAGACCCCCTTGAAACACATCTGTGGGCTGCTTAGGGGGGCCCACAGACCCCAGATAAGGGCCCCTGGTTAACTGTGTATCTTGAAGAAGTCTAGTCTATTAGTAAATTAAACTGAAATCTTAACTTGTACTAGAAAGCTATGTCAGGTAAACTTTCCACATATTATCCTACTATTCAACAGAATGCATGACCAGCTAACATTCAGGTTTATAAGTGGAACATGAATAGAAGAAAAATGGATAAATTTGCTATCTATGCTTTATTTGTACAACGTCAGCTGGCATATGTTTTTAGCTATGTCTCACCAGCAAGAATATTCCCTTCTATAGTTAGGTTTTGTGTGATGAATCATTTTCAATTAAAAAGGAAGAATGAGGGGCAAAGGAAAGAGATCTTTCCACTACCACAGATGCGCTTTGTCAAATACCCTGAAAATGCATGGCTAGATATACTGGAGTGTGCATGAGTGTTGGGGCGGGGGGTGGGAGGCAGCAGGTGAGGAGAGCCTTGCATAAGGCAGGGAAGGGGAGGTGATGTTAAACTAAGAATCATAAAACCCATTAAGAATTTATAGTCACAGCAGAAGTATATCTATCCATATTCTGTCCTAAGATTAAAATCATTATATACAGATATAAGTAAGATATCAACAAGTTTTAAAATGTACTATTTTATCGGAAGGGAAAAGAATAACGAAGAAAAAGTAAGGACACTAAACTGCTCACTCAAGGCATATATTCTGTTGGGAAAATTATCATTATGAGGCTGGTCTATAATTATTCCACTGAACTATACAAACCTTAAGCTGAGTTTTACAGCGCTTCAGCATTTCGCGGTGTCTAGTTGCCAGTGGGGAATCTTTCCATTGGCTTTCATTATTTTTCAAATCTTCTACAGTTCTGAAATCAAAGACTAACAGTCAAATGAAAGAAAACAGCTGGATCCAGCTTATCCATTCATCTCGCCCATTTCACTGACTCTCACACGCAGTTGTTTTCGCATTGTAACATCTTAAAAATCAGAGTATATCTTAACAACCAGTGGCAAGTTATAATTTAATTGGCAGCATCTTTCTTTCTTTCTTTCTCTTTCTTTCTCTCTCTCTCTCCCTCCCTCCTTCCCTCCCTTCCTTCCTTCCTTCCAGAGTCTTGCTCTGTCACCAGGCTGGAGTGCGGTGGTGCAATCTCTGCACACTGCAACCACCGCTTCCTGGGTTCAAGTGGTTCTCCTGCCTCAACCTCACAAGTAGCTGGGATACAGGTGCCCATCACCACGCCCAGCTAATTTTTTGTATTTTTAGTAGAGAAGGGGTTTCACTATGTTGGCCAGGCTGGTCTCAAACTCCTGACCTTGTGGTCTGCCCCCCACCACCGGCCTCGCAAAGTGCTGGGATTACAGGCGTGAGCTGCCGCGTCTGGCCATATTTTTCTTTTTTATTGGCTCCTAAAACAATGATGTGTCTTCAAATGGATGGCACTATAGATTTGGTGAAATATAATCTTTTTTGCTGCAAGAAAGTACTTTGTTCCCTTACTTTTCTGGGAGGGAAAAAAAGAAGTCTCTTATGAAAATTCAAGGTTACTTTGCCTATTCAATTACCCAAAACAAACGGCATCATCCTTTACAACTGTTCCCTCTGCTCGGAATGCTCTTCTCTGAGGTTATCTCCGGCTTTGCTCCTTCACTCCCTTCAGGTGTCTGCTCAAACACCACCCGTCTCTGCAGTAAAGGCTTCCCCATCACCTAATATGCTGCATATTTTGACTGACTCACTTAACACTATTTCAACCCCTTTCTATCATGACGTTGTGTGTAATACTCAAGTTTGCTAAATCTCCAAAAGTTACATTTCCTAGACTCCCCTCCCGCCAGCATTTCTGTAAGACCGAGTTTTCACTGAGATGAACCCTCACTGAAGGCAGGGTGAGTACTGTGAAGTGACTGCATGATTGCATGATCCTTCTGCAAGTACAGTAGTAGTGGGGTTTCGGCTGAAGCAGTGGCAGAGGCTGTGCTGTCAAGCTGACCTCCGTCCAAAGCAGCTTCCTTGTTCAAAGTATAGCTCTGGGAATCTTCTATTACAGCCATTCCAATGATTCAATAAATCAACTAGTTTCCCTTTCTGCTTATCCCAGAAGAATTGGATTCTTTTGTCTACAACTGAAACATGAGTATGGTAGACAAAAGAATGGCTCCTCCAAAGTTGTCACATCTGAGTCCTTCGAGGGAACCTGTGAACATGTGATCTCACTTGGCGAAAGGGACGTTGTAGATGTGATTAAGGCTATGGGCTTTGAGATGGGAAGATTATCTTGGATGATTTGGGACAGCCCAATATAATCACAAAGGTCCTTCTAAGAGAAAAAAGGACTCAGAGACAGAGAAGGAGATGTGACGATGGGACAATGGAAGCAAAGGTCAGAGAGAGATGGAGATCTTGTTGCTGTCTTTTTTTTTTTTTTTTTGAGATGGAGTCTTGCTCTGTCACCCAGGCTGGAGTGCAGTGGCGCAATCTCGGCTCACTACAAGCTCCGCCTCCCAGGTTCACGCCATTCTCCTGCCTCAGCCTCCAGAGTAGGTGGGACTACAGGCGCCCGCCACCACCCACGCCCGGCTAATTTTTTGTATTTTTAGTAGAGATGAGGTTTCACCATGTTAGCCAGGATGGTCTTGATCTCCTGACCTCATGATCCACCTGCCTTGGCCTCCCAAAGTGCTGGGATTACAGGCGTGAGCCACCGCGCTTGGCCTTTCTTTGTTTTGTTTTTTTTTTGTTTTGTTTTGTTTTGTTTTTAAGACCGAGTCTCGCTCTATTGCCCAGGCTGGAATGAAGTGGCATCATCTGACTCACTGCAACCTCTGCCTCCCAGGTTCAAGCGATTCTCCTGCCACAGCCTCCCAAGTAGCTGGGATTACAGGCACCTGCCACCAGGCCTGGCTAATTTTTGTATTTTTAGTAGAGATGGGGTTTCAACATGTTGGCCAGGCTGATCTCCAACTTCTGATCTCAAATGATCCGCCTGCCTCGGCCTCCCAAAGTGCTGGGATTACAGGCATGAGCCACCACGCGTGGCCTTGTTTTTTGCTTTTTTGAGACAAGGTCTCTCACTCTGTCGCCCTGGAGTGCAGTGGCACGATCTCAGCTCATTGCAGCCTCTACTTCCCGGGTTCAAGCAATTCTTGCACCTCAGCCTCCTAGCAGCAGGGACTACAAGGGTGTGTTACCATGCCTGGCTAATTTTTGTATTTTTTGGTAGAAAAGGGTTTCACCATGTTGGCCAGGCTGGTCTCAAACTCCTGACTTCAAGTGATCCACCTACCTCAGCCTCCCAAAGTGCTGGTATATACCAGGCAAGAGAAGGAGATCTAAAGATACTATGTTGCTAGCTCGGAAAATACAGTAAGGCAGTGTGGGGGTGGGGTGGGAGGTGGTGGTGATGAGCAGAGGAACATAGGCAGCTTTTAGAAGATGGAAAAGGCAAAGGAGATTCTCCCCTAGAGCCTCCGGAGGGAATGCAACCTTGATCTTAAGACTTCTGTTTTTGAGACGGAGTCTCACTCTGTAGCCCAGGCTGGAGTGCAGTGGCACAATGTCGGTTCACTGCAACCTCCGTCTACCAGGTTCAAGAGATTCTTGCCTCAGTCTCCTGAGTAGCTGGGACTACAGGCATGTATTACCATGCCCTGCTAATTTTTGTATTTTTAGTACAGAGGAGGTTTCACCATGTTGGCCAGGCTAGTCTCGAACTCTTGACCTCATGTGATCTGCCCACCTTGGCCCCCCAAAGTGTTGGGATTACAGGCGTAAGCCACTCTGCCTGGCCGATTTTAGGACTCCTGACTTCAGAACTGTAAGATAGTAGTATGTGTTGTTTTAAGTGACTAAAGTTGTGGTAATTTGTTGCTGCAGTCATAGGAAACTAAGATATCGACCTATATGGTTACTGGTATCACAAGAGTTTATAGGTAACAGGACTTCATGAAAAAAATGGGTCTCTGGGATCAGTTGTTTAATTGGGCTGGATGGTGAAGATACAATTATTATTTGAGGATGAAACACTGGTAGCCCAAGGCTCTGAGTAGAGAAACAGCTATATAAATGATCACTGGTGATCTGGAATGAGGAGGTGGAGTGGCTACCTCTAATTATGTTGCAGAGTTAATAGAAAAAAAAAAATGACAGTCTTCAGATTTTAAATTCTCATCTCAAGGAAATGTGAATGAACCAGGAAGTTTCTAAGACCACTGTAAAGGAGCAGCTCCAGTTCTACAAATTACAGTACAGAAGAAATTAATAACTTTACTGGACCTCTTATCTCAAAGTTAAGGCAAAGACTGGGACCCAAAGAGTTCAAATGGAGGAGTCTGGGAGAACTAGCTGACTCCAACCCAAATCTTTAAATTCCCTGAGTCTTGCTTGCTAGCAGAAGCAGTTTCTATAATGACCTCATTGGAGGTAGTCATCTTGCAGGAATGCTATTTTCCCCTAGGTTCTATCCCATCATCCTTCATTGCTTCCAGAACCACAACTAGAATCAGATCAAGGACTATCCTTATGGCCTTATTACAAAATTGGATGCAGGAGAAGCACACATTTGGAGGAAAAAAATGGCAAGATTTGTTAATGAGTTATGCTAGTTTTCTACTGCTGCTATAAGAAGTTACCATAACCTCAGTGGCTCCAAACCACACAATTATAGTCTTAGAGTTCTGGAAGTCTAAAAGGGGTCAGCAGGGATGATTCCTTCTGGAGGCCCTAGGGGAAAACAAGTTTCCTCGCCTTTTCCAGCTTACAGAAGTTACCGATTGGCTCATGACTCCAAACCACTCCAACCTCTGCTTCCCCATCACATTCTATCTCTCCCTCTGACCCTCCTGATTCCCTCTTATGAAGACCTTTGCAATGACACTGGACCTACCCATATAAATCAGGATAATCTCCCCAGCTCAAGATCATGAACCTGATACCACAACTGCAAAGTTCCTTTAATCAACTTAGATAACATATTCACAGGTTGCGAGACCAGGATGTGGGCACCTTTGAGACACCATTATTCTACCTACCACATATGTACTGTAGAAACATGACGGTTATGTAGGGTTATGTATGGGAATGGATTCTGAGGATGCTTGATCAGCAAGAGAAGAAAATGCTGATATACTTCTACGTAGGGCTAAAATCACTGACATGATTATACCTACCAGAGACCCTGGATTCAGTATTATTCTGAGTTGGGAGACGTTCATATTGTGCAACCAACTAGTTGACCGAAACTTTGAATTGACAGTGACCTATACTGAATGAAGCTGTGTTGCCAAATATTCTTTGATCTAATTCAGAGGAAATGATTCAAAACTTAAAGAGCTTAGAAAATTAATTATTGGATTTACCATATGTGATTTGCTCAGATAATCCTCTTTCCAATACACATACACACATCCCAACTATGTCCTAGAAGATACTTCTTATATCACAGCATTGAAAAATACACACATGAGGTGAACATAAATGTCTCTGGAAAGCACAATAAAGGCTATCTGTTGCAAGCCAGGAGCAAAGGTTCTAGATAGTTCTATTGAAATGGACCCTCTAAAGCCAGTGGGAGTGATGGTATCCCAGGAGGTAATCCATCGGAGGATAAAGAAATAGATAAATCCACAATCACAGTTTGAAATTTTTATAAGCTTCTCCCAGTAATTGATATTATAAGCTGATAAAATCATTAGATATAAGGAAAACTTGAACAGAAAATTAACAAACTTGACCTAAATAATAAACGTGGAATACTGTAAAAACAACACAGATAGCAGTCTTTTCAGGTCTACTAATGTAAAAGGCTACACAGTAAGTCTCAATAAACTTCAAAACACACAAATCACATATATTATATTTTATATTTTATATATATAATATATTATGTTTTCTTACCATAATGGAATTTAGCTAGAAATCAATCAACAAAAGATACATAGACAAATACCCTAAGAACCTAGAATTTAAATAATATATTTTGAAATACCCCACAGGTTATATATGAAAAAACAAAAATTAGAAAACGTTTTGAACTGAGTAATAAGATATGATAAACCAAAAATGAGGGATGAAGCTAAGGTCACACTAAGAGGGAAACAAAATAGTCTTAAATACACACATAAGCAAAAGAGTTGAAAGGGATGATCTAAATATCCATCTTAAGAGGCAGCAGAAAGCAAATTAAAATGGGCTGGGTGCGATGGCTCAGGCCTGTAATCCCAGCAAGGCCTAGGCAGGCGATCACCTGAGGTCAGGAGTTCAAGACCAGCCTGACCAACATGGAGAAACCCTGTCTCTACTAAAAATACAAAACTAGCTGGGCGTGGTGGCACATGCCTGTAATCCCAGCTACTCAGGAGGCTGAGGCAGGAGAATTACTGGAACCCAGGAGGTGGAGGTTGCGGTGAGCCGAGATTGCACCACTGCACTCCAGCCTGGGCAACAAGCCTAGACAACAAGAGCGAAACTCCTCTCAAAAAATAAAATAAATAAATAAAAGCAGAAATAATAAGGATCCCACAGACATTAAAATGATAAAAGGACATTATGAACAACTTCATGCCAAAACATTTTCAAACTTTAGAAAAACTGACACAAGATGTAATGAAAATCTAAATAGTCCTATATATGTTAACGGACTTAAATCCATAATTAAAAACATCCCCACACAGAAAACTCTTAAGCCCTGACAGCTTCATCACTGAATATTTTCTGACATTTAAGGAAGAAACAACATAATTCTTATACAATAAACTTCCAGGGAACATAAAAAACAGGAGAATATTCTCCAGTCCTTCTTTTTCTTTTTTCTTTTGTTGATATGGAGTCTCACTCTCTTGCTCAGGCTGGAATGCAGTGGCTCGGTCTTGGCTCACTACAACCTCCGCCTCCCAGGTTCAAGCAATTTTCCTGCTACAGCCTCCCGAGTAGCTGGGATTACAGGCTTGCACCAACCATGCCCGACTAAGTTTTGTATTTTTAGTAGAGACAGGTTTTCACTATGTTGGCCAGGCTAGCCTCCAACTCCTGACCTCAGGTGATCCGTCTACCTTGGCCTCCCAAAGTGCTTGGGATTACAGGTGTGAGCCACTGCGCCCAGCCCCCAGTTTCTTCTATGAGGCAGCATAACCTTGATACCAAAATTTGAGATGCACTTAACAAGAAATGAAAATTATAGGTCAGGCTTTCTTTTGGACACATGCAAAAATCCTAAACAGAATATTAGCAAATTGTATATCCTATTAGATATAAAAACATTAATATAAAGTTAAGTTTACTTGAAGAGTGAAAGACTGGTTTAATAACAGAAAACCAACTGATATAATTCAACCATATTAACAGAATAGAGGAGAAAAAAAGTCTGATCTTCTCAATGGATATGGCAAAAGCATTTAATAAAATTCAACTAGTGCTAAGGAAATTAACTATTGAAATAAAAGGAAATTTTCTTAATCTGGTAACTGAGGATATATAGAAAGCTTTCCTCCACTAATTGAAACAAGATGGAAATTTCAAGGTTATTTCTATTCAACATTGTACTAAAAATTACAGCCCAGGCACTAAGGCATGAAAAAAAAAAGCATAAGAAATAAAACTGTCATCATTTATAGACATGATTATGTGTAGAAAGTAAATCATAAAGAATCTGCAGGGTAACATTAGAATTAATAAGTGATTTTAGGCCAGGTGTGATGGCTCACACCTGTAATTTCAGCACTTTGGGAGGCAGAGGTGGTCGGATCACCTGAGGTCAGGAATTTGAGACCAGCCTGACCAACATGGCGAAACTCCGTCTCTACAAAAAATACAAAAATTGGCCAGGCACGGTGGCTCACACCTGTAATCCTAGCACTTTGGGAGGCCAAGGTGGGTGGATCACCTGAGGTCAGCAGTTTGAGACAAGCCTGACCAATATGGTGAAACCCTGTCTCTACAAAAAATACAGAAAAATTAGCCAGGCATGGCGGTGTGCAGCTGTAGTCCCAGCTACTCACGAGGCTGAGACAGGAGAATTGCTTGAACCCAGGCAGCGGAGGTTGCAGTGAGCCGAGATCACGCCATTGGACTCTAGCCTGGACGGAGCAAGACTCTATCAAAAAAAAAAAAAAAAAAAAATTGGGCGTGGTGGTGCACATCTGTAATCCCAGCTACTCGGAAGGCTGAAGCAGGAGAATTGCTTGAACCTGGGAGGCAGAGGTTGCAGAGAGCTGGGATCATACCACTGCACTCCAGCCTGGGCAACAGAGCGAGACTCCATCTCAGAAAAAAAAAAAAAAAAAAAAAAAGAATTAGTAAGTGACTTAAGCAAGGTAGATACAGAGATATAAATATGATTCAGTTTCTCTCAAAGTCAGACTACACAGGTTCTAGACCAAAAAGCAGAAGTGGTTTCATTATTATTTCAGATGACCTGCTCAAGAATATTTGCTTCTGTGTTCCTGTGACTTCTGTTTGTTGGTGTTAGTACACAGCAAAAAATGCTTAGAGTAAGAAACATAACAATGGTGTTAATGAATTGGAAATCTGAGGCTGCTATTTGGCCATTTTGGACTCCTCATGCCACAGAACAAGCCAAAAAGAGAATTACACGTGGGCAGGAGTAAATGATCTTGGTTATCAAGGGAAACCATGGTTACTTTTTCACAGTCCAGGGAAAAAGGGGTATGTCTGAAACCCAGGGGATCTTTTAAAGTTTTAAAGTTTAAAGTGCCTGCTGGTAATGTATGCCCAGCTGGAAAAGTTAATGGAAGTCTGTAGTAACCATAAACAGAGTGAAATACCCAGGGTTCAGGACTCTCAGAAATCAAGGTTTGGATCACTTCACCAGTTAAAGAACTCTGGACAACTGAGGAACGTGGATGTGGTGGTGGAGGCAGACAGAACACTATATAACATACATACCTCCCCCAACATTCAAAACTACTGTTCACAACGGAATTGCTTGCCCCTGACAAAAAAAATGGTAACTCAGGCAATCCCAGGACACGGCATCATGGCACATACCTATTGAGCTCCCGGATAGCCCGGAGTCTGCGGATATAGCGACGGCAACTAGGCAGAATAGACAGGTGGTGAGCATGCAGGGTGAGAAAGAAGCACTCCGTAGGGAATTTCGGCTCAGAAAATGGAGGCTGATCGCCATCTAGGAAAAATAACATCATTCCCTAAATAAAATCTATTACATGTCTCAATCAGAGAAAAAGCTCAATTCAGAAGAGAAATTACATTTGAATTTTTATGAAGTTTAAAGATACATTTATTTATTTATTTATTTGAGCTGGAGTTTTGCTCTTGTCACCCAGGCAGAAGTGCAATGGCGCAATCTTGGCTTACTGCAAATTCTGCCTCCCAGGTTCAAGTGATTCTCCTGCCTCAGCCTCCCTAGTAGCTGGGATTACAGGCATGCACCACCACACCTGGCTACTTTTGCATTTTTAGGAGAGACAAGGTTTCACCACGTTGGCCAGCCTGGTCTCGAACTCCTGACCTCAGGTAATCCACCCTCCTTGGCCTCCCAAAGTGCTGGGATTATAGGTGTGAGCCACCATGCCTGGCCAGACGTTTAAGGATACTTTTGCAATTATAAACTTAAACAATGCTACAAGAAGAAGAGAATTCCTGTTAGCTCCATTCAAGGACCAGGTATTCTGTCCTACCTCGTTAAATGTGTATATAGATGTCCATCACAATCTTTTTTTTTTTTTTGAGAGAGGGTCTTACCCTGTCACCTAGGCTACAGTGCAGTGGTAAGATCACAGCTCACTGCAGCCTTGATTTCCCGGGCTCCGGTGATCCTCCTGCCTCAGTCTCCTGGGTGGCTGGGAACACAGGCGTGTGCCACCATGCCGGGCTAATTTTTTTCTTTGTAGAGATGGGGTTTCCCTATTTTGCCCAGGCTGGTCTTGAACTCCTGGGCTCAAGCTATCCTCCCATCTCAGCCTCCAAAAGTTCTGGGATTATGGATGTGAGCCACCATTCCCAGCCCATCAACAATCTTTGGTGATGTTCCTTACTGATGTATTGTATAAAATCTCCATTTTTCAATACAATACAGAAATATTTAAATCTTGAAATGGTATTAAATTCTGTTAATAAACTACTGATTCCAGAGCCGTTTCCCTGCATATTTCCTTTTTCTAATTTTTTTCTATTATAAGTAATAGTACTACTGGGAGGATTTATGTAAATAAAATTATTCCTTTTTCCTCCAACTTTGGGAATATATCCTGAAAAGCAGAATTATTAAGAACAACAGTATTATAATTTTTTCTATGAATCACCAGAATTCACTTTAGATAGGTTAAATAAATTGGTGAAATGTCATCTACTTCTTTGAAAACTTACATTCTATTTCATTACTTTGGTTTCAGCTTGTTTATAGATATATTATGATAACTCATATGATAACTCAAATGTTTTTTCAATTTGTATCTTTTTTTTTTTTTGAGACGGAGTCTCGCTCTGTCGCTCAGGCTGGAGTGCAGTAGCTCAATCTCTGCTCACTGCAAGCTCCGACTCCCAGGTTCACGCCATTCTCCTGCCTCAGCCTCCCAAGTAGCTGGGACTACAGGCACCCGCCACCATGCCTGGCTAATTTTTTAAAAAATATTTTTAGTAGAGACGGGGTTTCACCGTGTTAGCCAGGATGGTCTCGATCTCCTGACCTCATGATCCGCCCACCTCGGCCTCTCCAAAGTGCTGGGATTACAGGCATGAGCCACCGTGCCTCGCCTGTTTTTTTTTTTTTTGAGACAGAGTCTCACTCTGTTGCCCAGGCTGGAGCGCAGTGGCATGATTGCGGCTCACTGCAACCTCCGCCTCCTAGGTTCAAACGATTCTCCTGCCTCAGCCTCCTGAGTAGCTGGGATTACAGGAGCGTACCACCACACCTCCTAATTTTTGTATCTTTAGTAGAGACATGGTTTCACCATGGTGGTCAGGCTGGTCATGAACTCTGGACCTCGTGATCTGCCCGCCTCAGCCTCCCAAAGTGCTCGGATTATAGGCGCGCACCACCATGCCCAGCTAACTTTGGTATTTTTAGTAAAGACGGGGTTTCACCATGTTGGTCAGGCTGGTCTTGAACTCCTGACCTTGTGATCTGCCTGCCTCGGCCTCCCAAAGTGCTGGGATTATAGGTATGAGCCACCATGCCCGGCCAACTATATTAATTTTTATTATGTTTCTCTATCTCATAAGTTCATTTTATGGTGAGGTGGTAACAATCTGTGAGGAATTACTAGCACGTAGGTAAGATAAAACACTAGCAGTGTTTTAATGACCGAGTCGTGAACACAGTACTCACAGAGTTCAGTCAGCCAGTCATTCACATCTTCCATCGTGGCATTCACACGCGTCTCATCATTTGGAAGAGTAATCCGACATCTTGGGTGAAAAATATACGTGGGATCAACTGTTTCTAACTTGATTTTTGTACTTAGCTGCTGCAGTACCCAAAGGAAATTCAGCATAAATCCATCTGTAGATACCAATCTATCATCTGTCTGTGAAAGATGAAAAGAAAAAGTATTTTTAAACATTAAAAAAAAATTTTTGAGATGGGGTCTCACTCTGTTGCCCAGGCTAGAGTGAAGGGGTGTGATTTTGGCTGCAACCTCTGCCTCCCAGGCTCAAGCAATCCTCCCACTTCAGCCTCCCAAGTAGCTGGGACCTAAAGTGATCCGCCTACCTCGGCCTCCCAAAGTGCTAGGATTACAGGGGTGAGCCACTGTGTCCAGCCAAGAAAAAGTATTTAAAATAACAACATGAATAGAAATTTTGGCCTTTATAAGAAAGCAGACTGAACTTTCAAGCATAACTGTATCCTAAAGTCAATGAGAAGACATACATATCATCACCACTGTCATTCCATTAATTCTGTATTAGCAGGTGCTACTTGTTGAATACCACCTATTATATAATTATTATTTATGCAAGAGGCATTTTATACATTTCTTTTTATTTTTTATTTTTTTGAGACGGAGTTCCGCTCTTGTTGCCCAGGCTAGAATGCAGTGGCGCGATCCCCACTTCCAGGTTCAAGCGATTCTCCTACCTCAGCCTCCCCAGAAGCTGGGATTACAGGTACCCGCCACCATGCCCGGCTGATTTTTTGTATTTTTAGTAGAGACGGGGTTTCACCATGTCAGCCAGGCTGGTCTCGAACTCCTGACCTCAGGTGATCCACCTGCCTCGGCCTCCCAAAGTGCTCGATTACAGGCATGAGCCACCACGCCCAGCCATTTTCTACATTCTTTTACTGAACCATCACAATAATTCTTACAGGTCAGTAATACTGCTGTTAACATTTTATACAGGAGGAAATAAAGACTCAGAGACCCTGAAGTGATTTGCCTGAGCCTCAAAATTAGTAAGTAGAAACACAATAAATATTTCTTTCTTTTTTTTTTTGAGACAGGGTTTTACTCTGTTGCCCGGGCTGTAGTACAGTGGTGCAAACATAGCTCACTACAGCCTCAACCTCCTGGGCTTAAGCAATCTTCCCACTTTAGCCTCCTGAATAACTGGGTCTACAGGTGTATGCCACTACACTGAGCTAAATTTTTTATTTTTTTTGTAGAGACAGGGTCTCCCTATGTTGCCCAGGCTGATCTCGACCTCCTTGGCTCAAGTGATCCTCTCGCCTCAGCCTCCCAAGTAGCTGAAACTGTGGGTATGCGCCAGCCACCATGCCCAGATAATTTCTGTATTTTTTGTAGAGATGGGGTCTCATTATGTTGCCAGGGCTGGTCTCAAATGACTGGGCTCAAGCGATCCTCCCACCTCGGCCTCCCAAGTGCTGAGATTACAGGCCTGAGCCACCATGCCCGGCCTCTTTCTCCTCTTTATTTCCCTCAAGAGCATCAAAACAAGTAGTTCCACTTGTTATCATGTGACATTGTTTCTCTAGGTGACAGCATCAGCACACTCTTGCATTAACAATATAACAATGTAACTTGATTACTTCTGTTAAGAAAAAAATAATAATACAACAATGATAAGAATGATAGTTAATACTGGTTGAGTGATCACTGTGTACCGGGCACCATCCTAACAGCTTTATATATAATAAACCCAGTACTAGTAGTACCCCCACTTAGCAGATGAGGAAACGGAGGCACAGAGGAGTAACTGTCTAAGTTAGTACATGGTGGAACCACGATCAGAAACCACCAGATCTATGCTCTTCTCTCTACGTTTTTTGCTTCTGAGTATACGTGTCACGTCATTCATTCATTATTTATTACTAATCAAGGAAGGATGCCCTTTTCTCCTCTGGCAAAGCAGCCATAGCCACTGGCCTGTCTCACCTGGACCGAAGCACTCACGCCCTTGCAGCTGCCTCCTTGGGTCTGTTCCTGGCTGCCCTCTTCCGCTTTGGTCCATCTACATGCAGCTTTTGTGATTTCCCTGCTAAGAACCCTCCCATGATAGTTCTGATCATGTAAACCCAACCCGATGGAGCCCTGCCTACCCACTAACTCCAGGACCTGCCATTCCCTCCTGTTCACTCTTCTCCAGCCACAAAAGCCTGCATGCTGGGCTTGTACCAAAGCTGCTTCGTTTCTACCTTGGACAGCTCTTTTCTCAGCCACTACAACGGCTGGCTCCTTCCTATGAAACAAACCTCACCTCCTCAGGGAGGCCTTTCCTGCCACCCAATCACAAATCACCTTCAGACCTTCCTTCTGGTAACTAAGTTCTTCTCATGTCATTTACTTTGCTCTGTTTTCTTCATTGATTATACAACTGTCTAAAATCATGTATTTATATGTGTACTTGTTTACCCTGTGGAACACGGGCTCCACAAAAGCAGGAAGCTTGTCTACCTTGTTCAATACTGTACCCCCATTCCTAGAACAGTGCCTGGTAGGTGCTGACTAAATCTGGGTCAGATGAATGAATTTGACGAACAGTGAAAAGCAGTGTGTAGGAATCCTACCTGCATCTGTGCTTTCTTCATATTGGCATTGACGACAGCCGCCATGTAACTGAGAGCAGCCTCACGGGTTTCGCCATTTAACAAAATACTATGCAGAATCTTAAAAAGCTCTTGCTGAAATTTATTTTTAAAAAGAAGAAATAAATTAAAACTATTTTGCACACGATTCCTTTTTGACTTCATGAACAGCTAGCCTACTTCCCATGTTCTCTCCTCTCCCACTTCTACTCATTTCAGACAATCCTGAGTGAAAGAAGAATATAAGAAACATCCATATTCAACTATGTCAAGGTAATCTGCATGAAAGCAGAATATGGAGTGGGGGAGGTAGGCAGTTACAGTTTTTTTTTTTTTTTTTGAGACAGAGTCTAGCTCTGTTGCCAGGCTGGAGTGCAGTGGTACAATCTCGGCTCACTGCAACCTGCGCCTCCCAGGTTCAAGCGATTCTCCTGCCTCAGCCTCCCGAGTAGCTGGGACTACAGGCACGTGCCACCACGCCCAGCTAATTTTTTTTTCTTTTTTGAGACAGAGTTTTGCTCTTATTGGCCAGACTACAGTGCAGTGGCACATCTTGGCTCACTGCAACCTCCGCCTTCCGGTTTCAAGCGATTCTCCTGCCTCAGCCTCCCAAGTTGCTGGGATTACAGGCGCCTGTCACCAGCCCAGCTAATTTTTTTTTTGCATTTTAGTAAAGATGGGGTTTCACCATGTTGGTAAGGCTGGTCTTGAACTGCTGACCTTGTGATCCACCTACCTCGGTCAATTTTTGTATTTTTAGTAGTGACGAAGTTTCATCATATTGGCCATGATGGTCTCTACCTCCTGACCTCGAGATCCGCCCACCTCGGCCTCCCAAAGTGTTGGGATTATAGGCGTGAGCCCACGAACCCAGCCAGCAGTTAGAGTTTTAATAAAATAGCCTTTGTTACTTCCTTCCCATGATCAAAATTACCTTAGATACCCAAGCCTGTAACTTCTTTGCCTTTTTTCTTTCTTTGAGATGGAGTCTTGCTCTGTCGCCCAGGCTGATATGCAGTGGCATGATCTCGGCTCACTGCAACCCCTACCTCCTGGGTTCAAGCGATCATTGTGCCTCAGCCTCCCGAGTAGCTGGGTAGCTGGGATTACAGGCACGTGCTGCCACACCTGGCTAATTTTTGTATTGTTAGTAGAGACGGGTTTCGTCATGTTGGCCAGGCTGGTCTCAAACTCCTGACCTCAGGTGATCCACCCACCTCAGCCTCCCAAAGGGATTACAGGTGTGAGCCATCACACCCGGCCCTTCTCTGCCTTTAAGTTTGAGAACTGAAGACATATTAATCAGGATTTGGGATAAGCAAGTCAGTGAAGGTGTGTGCAAACTAACAACTCTTGCTCACCCTCACAGTGTAAATGCCTAAGGACCAGCTGGAGAAGGAGCCGGGCCACTAAGCTCAGGACCAGCTCCCAGTGACGCTACATACAAAGGCAGCATACTGCTGTTGTTACAACCTGTTATTCAAGACACAGGTTACTTACTTATAGTTTATCTTTTTTATGTAAGATTGAATTGGCTTTTGTTAGCCGTTTGTCTACTGGGCATCGTCCAGTCTACAAAATAAAAGCTCCCTATCTGGAGTTCATCTTTGCTACTTCCTCTGGGTTTGTTTTCTGAACGCTTACCCTTCCGAGCTCTAAGTAATGCTGCAATGACTGGCTAACCACACGAGTGTTTTCCAGGGTAATGGCAGGCCCTGAGAAGTATTTTTCAACCACTTTAACCTGGAAAGAGAAGGAAAAATGCAATCAACATATAATGTACATTTGGGAAAGAATCTGAATAGAAGGGCGGCAAAGTGCAAGTAGCCACTATACTTACATCATCTTCTGCAAAGACTGAGAAGCTGAAGAAAGCCCCCAAGTAAGAGAGTCTCTGCAGCTCCCGCCCACAGCCAGGACTTAAGGATTTCGGCAACCACAACGGCAAAGAAGCAACCTAGGCAGAAGACGGAAGAGGCCAGTCAGGCACTCAACAGGCCGATGAAGTAAAAATGTAATGAAAACCCTCCAGCTCCTCTATATTTTCACAAGATATTACTATGTTTCAGCCAGGCACGGTGGCTCACGCCTGTAATCCCAGCACTTTGGGAGGCCAGTGAGAGTGGGAGTGGGTCACCTGAGGTCAGGAGTCCGAGACAACCCTGGCCAATATGGAGAAACCTCGTCTCTACTAAAAATACAAAAATTAGCGGGGCATGGTGGTGTGCGCCTGTAATCCCAGCTACTAGGGAGGCTGAGGCAAGAGAACTGCTTGAACCCAGGAGGCAGAGGTTGCAGTGAGCTAAGATTGCGCCACTGCGCTACTCCAGCCTGGGTGACAGAGTGAGACTCTGTCTCAAAAAAAAAAAAAAAAAAAAAAAAAGAATTTTAAAGTTGCAGGATACTAT